GTCCCAATAAAAATGAAAATATCACTGCGAAAATTTATATCAAAAGGTTATCGGTATGGCATACCTCGCAAATAAAATTATATATTTGGCTTAACAAATCAACAATTTAGATATGTAAATCCAAAAATAATACATTAAAACTTATTTGCTGGATACTATTTTAGCTAAACAAGCAGCAAACGCTGAAAGTGGGTGTTAGATCATACCAGGTGAACAGCGAAACTGTGCGGACTCTTGCCTACAAAAACCACGAACGCATTCTATAATAATATTTATCATATTGTTTATTTTTATAAAAATAAGTTTTCAAAATGAAAATTAGCTGGATACTATTTTTAACTACACAAGCTGCACACGCTGAACGTTGTATGTTAAATCGCACCAAATGAACAGCGAAACTGTGCGGACTCCCGTCCACAAAAAACACGAACACGCATTCTACAACAATGCTAATCATATTATTGGCATGCCTTAATAATTCGATGTTTTATTTGTGTGGAAATAAATTAGATACTAGTTTGTTAGGTAATTAAATATTTGACAATATTTGGTCTTTTTCCATTGCTTTCGTTGAAAGTAATGACATTATTTTTATTTAATCTTTATAATACTAACTCCGCCATTTATCATTTCTATTAATCTTTGTTTATGTTTCGTTTAAACCAAATTCAGAAGTTTGACGGTGTGAATAGAACATCTATCTGGCTTACAGGAAGTGATTTGTCTAAAATGATGAACATCTGTTGGAACCGGGCTTGAAAAGAAATACGGGGTGTCTGTACTCCAACTGGCATCTATTTCAAAAGTTCTTGGCAAGTTTCTTGCCAGATTTGTCATTCTAAACTTGAATTGCTGGTCTTTTCCCCGTTTTCCCGATTTCCACCCCATTCGTCGTCTCACGTTGATTTAAACAGAACAGTTAAAAACCGAACAATTGATTGATAAACTGATTCGGTGATTGTCCTCAATACTATTTGAAATTTATGGGTATTCGATGGTCTTGTGACTATCTCAAAAGCGTTTACTGCTTCAACAAATTTGTAGCTTAGTTAAAATTAATTTTACGCAAGGAAAGTTCTAATTAATGCTTCAATGGAAAATAATCGCAGATAGTATACCAATCGTGGGGTATAGTTGATTGAACTTTAAGCATGTTAGCCACTGTTTAATGACGGTGGATGAAAATTAGTTTATGTACACGGTTCGGCAGCGATTAAACCAAATAAATGAACCTCCATTAACCACTTCTCAGTGGCGAACTTGGCCCAAAGTTCATCTTTAGCTTTGATGAGAAACCGCTTCCTGAAAACGAAACACAATCACTTCTATAGTATACTCCACATTCTCGAGAAAATTAGTCCATCCATCGAGGAAAACTGGATAAATAGAAATTTCTTTCATGACACACTAATCTGTGAATGTTGATGACGCGGTAAAAATCGTTGCACTTGCCGCACCGTCGCATTTCTAGATCCAGACTCAGTAATACCGTTTTTCCGGTCAATGTACTATCATTTTCACAATGAAAAATTTTGGTCTAACAAAAAATATATTTAAAAAAACATAATTTTTCGTTTCCGACGCATTTTTGAAAATCTGCTGAGAAACAAAATGTTATGTTTAAACCGCAAGTCAACATTTAATTTTAGTATTTATGAATGTTCAAACGATTCATCGAAAAATAATATTATTAATTTAATAAGATAGATCTTAACATGAAAGCAACATAAAAGAAAAAACCTCGTTTGCTCAACATAATTTTCCTCTCCTTTAACCTATATCTGTACCAACATTTTCTGATCATTTCAATATATTTCATGAATATCCCCAAGTGTCTTCTTTCCAAATATGTGTCATTGTACGAAATCTGGGTTATAAGCAGGGAGAGGCAAGAAGCTGACTCATTTCACCTTAAATCGAGCTGTTGAATATACAGATGAAAACCTATACACCACATAGTCTTTTCAACTTTCAACCATCATGCTATTGACTGTAAAAGAAAATAATCAGATAGCTCGACGGCAGGGTTATAAGCAGGGAGAGGCAAGTCGCTGACTCAATCCACTTTAAATTTAATGTGTTGGGAGCAATATCTTTAATGTTTCATATATTCTATCGAGTTATTGAATAGAAAGACGGAAATCTAGTCATCACGAAGTCCTTCAGAAATTTGCCATTGACTGTAGAAGACAATAGTCATACACGTGTTATCAAGGATGTAAAAAGTGATAGGGAAGTCGCTGCCTCGTTCTAATTCTTTGAATTTCATATGTAGAGAGAAATATCTTGTAAAGTTTACTATATTCTATCGAGTTATTGAATATAAAGTTGGCAATCTAGTCATCTCATACACAAAGAGCAAGTTCTAGTGTCTGTACTAATGACTTATGGTAATATTTGAAACATATTCACCAACTTCAACTTTCAAAAATTATGCTATTGACTGTAAAAGACAATAGTCAGATGGCACAATGACGTGTGTATAAACAGGGACAGGCATGTCGCTTTTCATTAATGACTAACTTAATAACTTCGCCTGTTTTATGGAGGGATGCCATATTTCAACAATACCGAAAACCAGTTTTGAGATAAAGCTAATAGGGTTGGAGTTTTTAAATTTGTACTATGGCATAATTATTCTATTATTGACAATAATATCCCTGCAACTGTTTGTATCGCCAATATAAAATTTTTTGAAAAATCCATTAATATATCAATGGATGAAAATAATTTAGTAAATATTTTAGCCTTACTCTCTTTTACTATTCAATTTTTTCCCCTGTAGTTTTTTGTTTATATCCTTGACAACTTTCTCCCAACATATTTTGGTCTATCTATTGTTGTCGTTGTTTTCCTCTAGCCTTTGTCCATTTTGGAGTACAAAAGAAAATGCAAAATGACATTGTTCATCCCTAATTGTAATTTAACGAGACACAATGTTAGCCCCCGCTTGTAAATAAAATCCCGTGAAAGATCGAGATTCGGAAGTTTTGTTTTCCCGATGGATGCACATGGTCGACCACCCCTTCACGTGCACATGCAGCTGACGTACGTAAGTGTATTTTACTTCTTTACCCAGGAGTAATTTTGTCAGCTTAGACATTTTTAAAATCAAATAAAAGTCTTTTTTTAAAGTTTATCCGGCTTTTAAAAAGACCTGTAATAACTTTCAGGACAATTATCGTAGACAAAGTAATATTTGTAATCTTGGTCACGCGAGGATCGATGATCACACTCAACTTAATCTTCCAAAAGCTATTAGACTTAAGAAAAAACACTAGCTTTGAGTATTACTAGCATTCCTAAAATAGATTCAAGGGTTTTAGATTAGACTAAGTCTTCAACAGTAAGGCTTTTAATCTTCAAAACGAAATTGCTATGCTAAACAAGACCATGAACACAAATAGTGCCTTCCTTGAAATTAAAAATAAAATAACACAAATGGTAGGTAGTAATTATTTATTTTCCACGCAAACTAAAATTTAAATAATTAAAAACAATTGACCTCCTTTCTTGTATAATAAATAATAAGTATATTAATGTATTAATATATCATGAGTGATTCGAGACAATGGTGGCTCTGCTTACTTTGTCTGCACTGACTCCATCAGCACAGTTACTGCTGTCCAGAACAAGTCCTCCATCAACCCTCTTGTTGGAGAGATACCATGAACTAATAAATCTTGGCAAAAAGTGGTTGTTGTCTGGATACCTGGACACATAGGTCTGGAGTGTAATGTAAAGGCAGATGAGATAGCAAAGACCAGGATGTGCCAAACTCCAGACTCTAATGCTAAAAATACAATAAAAAACATGATTGAAAGAGAAAAAGATCAGTAGAGAAGCTCTTGAATATTAAGAACACTGTTGATAGTTGGTTCTCAGAGGACCTGACTCATAGAAGGAGAGTAATCCTCACCAAAAGAATCGGCCATTTGAGGTTGACACTTGGAAACTTACTTTCGGGGCCCGTGCTGCCCAGCAGATAGAGAAAGGTTGCTCGATGTGCCCACCTACTTGAAAGCTGCAATTCCTTGTCTGAATGCTACCTGATTGAGAATTGTGCTTGAACACGGCAGGGAGTATTTGAGCCCCTGTCCCGATTTATGGAGGAAACAGGGTTGTTTTGTTGTATATAGTAATGATAGTTTTGTGTCCCTAGCTTGTGTTGAGAGTGAAGTATTTATTTGCGTGAATGTGTAGTGTGAGAATATTGAGTACTCCATCGTCCCTCAATTAGGTTAGTTTTAGTAAGTGTAAATGGTGATGGAGGAATATCAAGTACTCCAGCACTCTAACTGAGTGAATAGCATGTGAATAGGAAAGAATGTATTTAAGAGTGAGTGAGAGTGGGAATGAGTTTGCATCTAGAAACTGATTGTATTAGTAATATATTGTGTAATAGTAGCTGTTTATAGCTCCTGGAGCCCAATCTCGGCTGGACGGATGGCGGTCAATGATTCTTAAGGCTTGCCGGTAATTTATTGTAAATTACTAAACCTAAAATTGCCGGTGGATTGCGAGAAGTAATAGGCTCAACTGTGTACATGTGTGTATGTATGTACATCTGCATGAGAATAGAGCTTATATAATTCAGTAATCAGTAACCGCAATATGTCACAAATTGTCTTCCTTTATGTAGTACGCTTGACACCAATGGTCTTAAATGATGTTGCTGCTTAATTTCCTTAACAATGATCTTGTTTGTAATTCATGATTTGGAAAAAAGCAAGGGACTTTATTAAATATTACATTAGCTTAAAGCTTCAAAATTGATACAATTAATGTGAAATAATTTGTTTGGAATTTTGTTGTGCACTTTGTTCATGTTTGTTGTTTCTCAAGGTTCCTTGTTTTCATGTTATTTTGTATGTGGAAAGATGGTAATTGCTGTGATTTAAATATGAAAACAAATATGAATAGTGATGAAGAAATGATCAGTTATAAATTATTATTAAAAAGAGTTAATTTTTAACACGTTTTTGGTTTGGCTTTTTCAGAGGAGTTTTTGGCTGGAAGGGTAAAGGCGAATCTGAAGGCTGGAGCCTTTTTGGCAAATTGGCGAATGGGTACAACGAAAGATCAATTTCAAGCCTCTCTGATGTATGTATTACAGATTTATTTTATTTTGTTTACAACTCTTCTAAAAAATAAAATTTTCAGGAACGAAGATCCCTTGGTGGTGATTCTGGCAGAGGTGTGCAAGGAAGCACTGGGCTGATACAGCTAGAACGTCCCGCATGGCTTCCTGCGAAATCAAAGCAAGAACAGCAGGCCCATTCTGATGAGCATGAAAAGATAATTTCTTCTGCAAGGAAAAAAGGTACGCGATAATGATTAGTGAGATTTTGCACCTAGATGTGTCGCAGCCTCCATGATGCTTAAACTTAAAATTTTATCTGATAAAAAGCTTTTTATCTCTTGTTTGAGTTTGTGATGGTGTTGTCTTATTTTTTGTTTGTTTGTGGGACATTATGCGACACACCTGTTGGCATTGACACAATGGCCTTTTCTTTTCTTTCAGAACTTAAAGAATCAAAGCAAAGGAAGAAGGTACTTCAGAGCCAACTTAAAGCCGAGGATGAACTTGCAAGTGCTACTAGGACTTGGACCCAGGAGATCCTACCTAACTGGAGTCAAATGTAAGGAAATATAATAAAAAATTATTTATATTTTATCTTATTTACTATATATGACAAACGTAGACAACAAAACACAATTTTCAACATAGAAAATAAGTAAAAATCTAAAATAGTTTATTGATTTATACTGTTTTCCTTTACTATTTTGCCTAGTACTACCGCCATAAAACCAAATTTTTAATTAATTTGTTTTTATAAAGGAGGGAGCAGAAAAAGACTCAAGAACTTTGGTGGCAAGGAATTCCGCCATGTGTTCGTGGCAAACTCTGGAGGCTTGCTATAACAAATGATCTCAATATAACTCACGGCCTATATGAAATTTGCGTATCTAGGTATTGAACGGTATAACTTCTCTTAAAAATATTCAAATGTATCAACTAATGTTTTTTCCTTCAGGGCATTACAAAGGTTGAAAAGTGCCGCTGGAAGCACGGATTCAATAGATGAATCCAGTAAAAAAGACGCCGATAGAGAAGCTAGCATGGAGCTGATACAATTAGATATAAGTAGGACCTTTCCTCATTTGTGTATATTTCAAAAGGTAATTTTTTTAAAAATCAATTTTTTTTTTAAAGAGTAATTTTAAATTTGACATTTTAGAAGGGACCATATTATGACATGCTGCACAGCCTTCTTGCAGCGTATGTCTGCTACAGGCCAGATGTCGGCTATGTTCAAGGAATGTCGTTTATTGCAGCGGTGCTGATCCTCAACATGGATGCGCCCGATGCTTTTGTCTGTTTTGCAAATATTCTCAACCGTCCCTGTCACCGAGCTTTTTACAGCCTGGATCAACCACTGGTAAGTTCTTTTTTTTTAAATGTTATTTAAGTTAATTAAAAGAGTTTGACGATATTTGTTATCTCTTTCAAAAAGATAGATTTTATTAATTTTAAACCAGTTCAAGAGAAAACATGGTTATAAAAGCTGAAGAAAATTGAACATCATCTTGATTTTTGAACATCAAAGCTGTTTAAAAATATTTTGCCAGAAATCATCATAAACTTGTGCAAAAGCAAGTAATTAAATTTAAATTATTAATAATTTAAATTTAAATTATGGACAGGCTAAAAAATATATTAATCAAATTTAAAAAAAACTTTTTGTCTTTGTTCTGTAGTTACATAGTATTTGTCAAAATAGTATTTGTTGAAAATTTCTGCAAAACCAGTTTCATAGAACCAGACCCATCCTTTACAATAATGTATTAATTATTTTATGTTTAGTGATCAGGAGATGGAACAATATTTGCTTCTTTTGTCAATATTTTAATATAAAGTTAAAAGTAGTGTGAAACTGTGCACAAAAGTAACAAAAACAATTAAGCATTTATTTAAAAAAGTATATACATGAGTTTATGGATATATCAAATTAATTTAGTCCGCTGTCAATTCTTTGGTCAGATATGCTGAAGAGGGAGTTAAAGCTTCGTACAATTTTCTAATAGCGGTTTGTACAACTTGCTGCAGCGTCGAATCTTCTTTACAAACAACTTCTAAACTCAGCAAGTCGATGTGAGCTTTCTTATTGTCTACCGTTACGTTCAATTTGTCACCTTTGAATATTTTTGGTACGCACTGGTCTCCGAACATGTCCTGCAACATTTCGATGACGCACTCTTTGAAGTGCATCCTGTCCATTTTCATGTGTACGTTGGGCGGTACGATGTTCTGGTTGACTATCTCAGATTCAAGAATCGCCGTGAGAATACTGTCGGCAAACATGTCATTAACGGGATTAGCGACCCATTGAAGAGTCACTGATTTTTTATTCAGTGTTATATCGATGCAGTTGAAAGCTTTTAATTTTTTGATGTCTATAGTCAGAAGGGGCGATGCGATATGGGCGAGCATGGCACGGAGTATTGTTATTGACCCGTTATAAGGCACGTGCTGCGTTTGCATAACAGTACTCGTCGTCAGGTTTGTATATTTAGATAAATCAGAAGGTGCAACGATATGGTAATTGAAATCCCTTTTGACTAAAATTCCTGAGAGTTTATCGCCAGCTTTTGGACTATTCATCGCCAGGCTTCCCATCACTTTAGCGACTTTTTCTCCTCTGAAATAGAGCTCAACCGATTCTGTATTTCTAGGATTGTAAATCTGAATTGCATTATCAGGATCGCCTTCATACTCTCTCTGCAATGCTGATTTGAGACGGCTCATCTCATTCTGCTCACCATGAACCAAAACAATTCTCGGTGGTTTCAACTGTCTTATAAATTCACTTGTCTGTTGGTAGTCAGTATGGGCTGAAAATGAGATATAAGCGACAGAACAGTTCAGCTTTAGTTTTTGCCCACTCAGAGTCACAATCTCTTCAGGCTCAGAGAGGATGGCTTTGGCGAGAGTCCCTTCAACACAATAACCCGCTATGATGACACCATTTTTTGCATCCGTACACCAAGACTCGAAAAGTTCCCTCGATAGCCCGCTTTGCATCATACCAGGAGATGCCATCACAACACATGGGCCGATATCATCGAACTGGTCTATGCCCTTCAAATTAGATATGTGGGTGAAAATGAACGGGTTGTTCACAGCAATCTGCCTTTTGATTTTGTCGTTCATGGCATTTATATATGTCTGATAAACTGCCATGCATTTCTTTGCTAGAGACGACGCATAGTAAATTGGGATGTCGTGGAGTTCAGGGTGTTGGCTCCAGTATTCATCGAGGATGAGCAGAAGTTCTTGCGCTCTCCCCAGGGCGAAAACGGGGATCAAACACCTCCCACCTCGGTTTACAATGTCATGGACTAGAGTTGTAAACCTGGCCTCACGTTCTTCACGTTTTTCATGTATGTGAGTGCCATAAGTAGCTTCCGTGATAAGTATGTCTGGCCTGACTGTAGGAATCTCTGCTGCCATCAAGTGTCGGTCCTCTTGCCTCGAGAAGTCGCCTGTGTATAAAATTTTGACGCCGGAAATTTCGATCATGAACATGGCAGCGCCGAGTACGTGGCCGGCGTTGTACGCCCAGAACTTGATGCCGCCGACCTCCCTCTCCTCGTGGAAGTTGATCGTCTCGATCTTGTCCATGCTCGACTCGAGGTCGCTTTCCGTGTAGAGCATCTGTTCCGTCGAGATGTTGCTCACTTTGATGTAGTCGGAGACGAGCCACCTGTAGATCGCCTTGGTTGCGTGGGTCATGAAGCATCGGCCTTTGAAGCTCGTCTTGAGCAGGAACCACGGAAGTGCGCCGCAGTGGTCCAAGTGGAAATGAGAAACGAGGAGCAAGTCGATTTCGTCCGTGTCGACGATATCGACGAAAGGCAATGCGTCCATGCCCGTCAGACCAGGATGGATTCCGCAGTCGAGCATGATTTTCTTCCCTTTATACTCGATCATAATGCACGACCGGCCGACTTCTTGACCTGCTCCGAGCGGCGTTATCGCGAGCAAGTCGCTCTCCTCCGCCGGAATTTGAGAATCCTGCTTTCGCTTATACATTTTCTATTTATACAACTACTAAATAATCATACACATCGGCCCGAAAACATATACATAGATATAACATCGCCTTCTCGTCCGGCTTACTCTTCCGTTTAACCTTCAGTGTTCCGACTCGGTATGATCGATTAGTATTTAGTACACTCACGCTTCGGAACCCGCCTGAACTACACAACTACATCACAAACTACGTCTCAGGGAACAAGAAACTGAGTGGCCCTTTCACCAATAATAGTTTTTTTTTCCAAAACAAAATTATTTTTATTACGAGTTTATTTTATTATTAGTTTTGTGTTTCGTTAGTAGTATAAAATTACAATGCTGGAATTAGTAAATTAATTACAATTATTTATAGAAAATATAATACCTAATCTAAAATAAGAAAAAAAAGAACAATTAAACAAAGCAATCATTTTTTACAAAATAAAATTAATATACATCCCTCTTTAAAAAGTTAAATAGATAAAAGTAAATTGTTAAAGATAATACACAATTTCAAGTAGCTATTCTTTTTACGTAAGATCTTGGTTGAGATGAAAAAGTTAGTGTCGCAAGCGGGATTCAAACCCATGTTCTTCAATAGGCCGCTGCTCTAACCACTTGAGCTACCTTGACTTTAATTCATTAAAGTACGTTTGAATCCCGCTCATAACTTGTTCATCTCAACTAAGACCTTACTTAAAAAGAATAATTAATTGAAAGAAGTAATTTGGTTAATTAGACCACTAAACATAATGATTAATAATACTTATTGTGTATTATTTAGTGCCCGTTAATTAATGATTATTTAGAGATTTCCATTCGTTCATGGCCTATCACACAAATTAAACATATTCCTTTCTTTTGATAACTTTAAAATAGCCTTCAAAAACTATAAAACTGTTCATACCCTTTTGAACCCTCCAAAATTAAAGAACCCACACCTGTAACAAATAAGTCTAACGTAATTTACAAAATCAATTGTTTAAATTGTCATGCACATACATCAAAATTACATCCCAATATCTGGATAAGAGGGTAAAACAACATATCTATGATTTCAAAAAACCCAAACAAAATCCTCCAGCACTGGCTATACCCCATTTTAAACCGCAACAAAATTTTGATTTTAACAATCCAAAAATATTAAACACAGAACAAAACAAATGTAAATGTAACTTTTTACAAATGGTTTTCATCAACAGAGGTAAACACAGCTTCATTTACAAACCAGACACATGTAAACTCAGTCGCAGCTATGCTAATATCATAAATCAAATTCGATATAAATAACACACATATAACCACAAAACATATAATACAACATATAAAATAATCAGTACAGTTCTATATAGTCTAAATCCCCAACAATATACCTCTCCTTTCCCCAAAAATCATGTCTGTAATTATCCTGAAAGACTAATTAGGCCTGAATGACAAACCATTACCCTTTTTTTCCATTGTCAATCCCTTTCACCTCAAAAAGCTGACTCCTCATGGAAAAATAAATTTCTATCCCTACTTCCTTCCGCACTCCTCCAAAATCAAACATATATAAACAAAACAGCATTTATATCTCTCAACACGACACATAACCGTGAAACATCTACACAGAAAACTCACACATTTTGAGTGAGCACAAATTTTATTAATCTAAAATTTCTATATTGTGTACATCATTGAATAAATTCATTTTCACATCTTACCTGTATTTGTATGATTTAAACAATGTTTATAAATCTCAGGCCTTGGAATGTTGGCACGATAAAGAAAATGTTTTTCTAAACCTACATCACTCCAGACCGCATCTCTGATGATCTCTAAATAATCAAATTACATAATAATAGTCAGTGAGACAAAATGTATTAACCAAAATGCAGAACTTATGCACAGAACTTTTGACTAAACTGTGGCTCTTGGTACCATAGCCCAACTTGGCAATTCTAAAAGTTACTAATTATAATTATAGTTACTTAATATTACGGTTCATTTACAGTATATATTTACAGAATATTTACCCATAATGGATACAGTCAAAACTAAAGTAACTATATATAAAAATTTATAATCTATAAGGATATGGTAGACTAAATGTACTAATGAGATCATTGAGCACCCTCCATCCAATGACAGAAATGCCCAACCGAGGTCTATGGAAGAGAGGGACTCCAACTGAAAGACCAAGAGGATACTCATATTCAATGCCAAACACCCATTTTATACACTAAGTATTTAACTGTCTTTGATTGGACCCTCTCAATAAAATTCTTCTGTTATTTTCTTAGTAAGGAGACCAGACTATAGAAGCATTCCAATAAACTATGGATGAGGAGTTGACATAAAAATTTTATAGCAAAAACATTTGAAAAATTAGAATATTTTTTTCAGAAATCCTAGGTTTCTAAGAGCTCTATTAATGAGATTGGTGTAATGATTTTGAAGTGTACATGTGGTATTGAAGATCACTTGTCTTCTGAGAAAACAATCCATCATCTGCAGTTCAATTTGGCCATTACCACCAAAGATTGAGATTGAGCATGTAGCAGAGATTGCTGCTTGACCTCTTTACACAGCAGATTCTGCGTGCTCATAGAAAAGGCTAGAGACCCACAGATACATGAAAGGGTTGACAATTATATATTTTCCATTGTATTTAAATCTCAAAGAAGGGGAAAATCCAATTATTTTGTGGGCATCGTGTGGTATGGTGGTAAAAACACTTAAGCCCTTCTCAATTAAACTAATAATATAGTTGCACAAAACTACATATAAATAATCATGAACCAAGAATCAGCCCTATTTTAGTAAATAAACAAAAAATCAAAAGAATAAAATTCTCTTCCGATTTGCCCCAGGATTGAGAAAATTTTGTTCTAACCACTTAGCCACCATGGTTCCCTTGCTTTTTCATAACCAAATATCTTGCAGTTTATGAATTGTTGCTTGTTAGCTTAACAATTTTTTTAAATTGTGAATAGGAGTTCCTATTTCACCGTACAGAATGATCAGAGATCCTTTGTCACCTTTCAGGCATTTGTGATCTAACATGTAGCATTGCTCGGCTAATGCATTCTGCAAACTTAGGCTGAACTTCATCAATTTTGTGGCTATGAACTTCAATGTTTTCAATATTTTAATGTACCATTTTGTTATAGATGGAGGCTTATTATGCAGTGTATGTAGACCTTCTGAGAGAAAACGTTCCTCAGCTCTATAAACATCTTGAATCTTGTAGCCTTACCCCCGATCTGTACCTGCTTGACTGGATCTACACTATATTTGCCAAAGCCATGCCTCTCGACTTGGCGTCCCGAGTGTGGGATGTCTTTCTTAGGGATGGCGAGGAATTTTTATTCAGGACTGCTATTGGTAATTTAATTTTTACTTTTTATAAACCAGGCGGGTTTAATTGAAAGGTTGATTTATTTTAGGCGTTCTCAAACTGTTCCAAAAGGAACTTTTGACCATGGACTTTCTCTCCGGTTCACAATATCTTACTCGTTTGCCGGAGGACTTAAATCCGAACGTTCTGTTCAAATCAATTGGTTCCATTAAAATGTCAGTTGGGAAAAACAACTTCAAGCAAATACTTCTGTCATACACACATCATGATGTTTGAGGTATATTGTTTTATCTATTTATCAATGAAAGTTGTTAATTGATTTTTTATTTCCAGACTGACGATTCAACGTCATTTCAGAATTGGCAGCTGCCAAAGATCGGACAATAAAGTTTGTTTTTTTAGTCAAAATAAATAAAAGTTATTTTTTTTTATTGACATATTAACATCAATTTTAATTGCGGGTTTTAAAATGGAATATGTATTTTACCGTCCGAAACAATGAATTTACTAGTAAAATTTTAAAAAGCCAATTTTGTTACAATTTCAGTGTTAGTCATGTCTATAAACTTTCAAAAAAATTGATAAAATGTAGTAAAATAAAAGATCTTTTATCATAATAAATGTATATTATTTATACATTTTTTTAGTTTTATTTATTTAAGCTTTCAAAGAAGTTTTAATTCTCTGGCATTTAACGTAATTTATTTTAAAGGAGGACGACTGAAACTCAATTAACTTCATTTATAGAAGAAATCTAATGAATAAATCGGTTCCTAATTTAAGTGTTCCTAAATATTAATTTAGATTCAAATTTTTGTACACATATCAAACTGAGCAACACAAGACGATGTTTATCTATACTAAATTAGTAGGATTTTTTTTGCAGTTAATTTGTTCCTCCAATTTTGCATGATTGACTTCAAATGAATGTAATAACATTCAAAACAATGTCAGAGAATTTCAAATGATCATTTTTATAGTTTAAAGGTGCCATTAAAAAAAAATAAAAAATTAAAAAAACGTCCTGCGATATGGCCTTAAAAAATTAGTAATTAATTTTCCAATTGATTTGAGGAAAATGATATGTGATATTAGTGGTTTTTTACTAGTAATTTTTCTATTGTAATGTTTTTGGTACTAAGTTAATTACGACCATTGGATTTCTAAAAGTGATGCTTTTCATATTGTAGAAGAGATGCCATCACGATTAAATTATGTAAAATATTTTCTATTATATTGTTAAGATTTTGTATTTATTATTATATTTATTTGTTCCTGGATTTTTAATTATTGTACTCTCACGAACAAAAATACTCTATTTCACACTTTGTTTGCTCAATTAAATAACTTTATATGGTATAATTAAAAATATAATGTAAACCAGATTTTTTATGCACTGTTTTTATTCAACCCTCAGTCAGCGAAGGGTGTGCAGAACTAACACAAGAAATAAATAAAGCTTGCCTAGCTGAAAAGCTTACATGTCTATAGCAGTCTGAGGGATGAAAAGAATTGTTTTATGTTAAAGAGAAAAAGTTGTGCCATAGGCATATCTATATATATAATTTTGTTATTTAGTATACTGTTTATACTGTGCTAATTTGAGTGATATTTAATTATTGTAAAATTATATTTTAAAAATTTAATTGTAAAGGATTATACATAATTTCTAATAGTTCATGTTTTGTAAATTTTGAAATATCTATTAAACTTAAAAAATACAAACAATTAAATAAACTGTAAATGTTGGCTTATTTGCGTTTTATATTCAACAAGAACCAAAAGAACAGAGTTTTGAACCACGACTTTTTTAAATATTTTTCTATTAGAATAACCATGTATAGAAGTTGGTTTACTTTTCATTTATATTTTTTATGGGCTGCTAAACCCCCAGAGTTGTACTTACTAATATTTTTTCTTGAACACACGGTAGCGTTTCAAAATAGCCACTGCTGTGTTCGTATCTACCTGCACAAAAATAAATACAAGTATGTAAACTAGGGTTGCAAAAATAAGTTTTATTTGGGAACGTCTATGTACAAGCATTGATTACATAGGTCGTCGCGACCAAATTTTACGCCTAACAAGTTTATCAGTGTTTGTGATAACATCTATTAAAATTATTTCTAACGGATAGATGTTTTGCTCGACCCACTCGTTGGCCGAGTAGGTGTCCGTGTATTTCCACAAAAGCACCTGGATATTGTGTTTAAGAGATTTCACTTCATGAAGCAACCTCAACAGCCTCGGCGTTTCTTTGATGAGTACAAAAGTATTTGAAACATTTTTTGCTATGTGGTAGAAAGTGAACCAACCGCTTGCTTTGAGTTGTTTTACAGCAATGTCTACTTTGTTTTTAACAAGTTCAAACTGCAGCATTGTGTTGAACAGGTCAGAACCAGGAAATATGCATTCTTCTAAAGTTATTCTCCTGTCAAACCTCTTGAACAATTGGTTTTCATCTTTGGTAACTGCATATGATAATTGGACGTGTTTGCACTCCAAAATTTGCTTGAATTTTCCCAACACTCGGTTCTCGTCGTTCATCGAGGTTTGGATGTAAACAAGGTTGATAAATAAACTTGGCAAAGAGAGTGGAAGAAGCTCGCCGAGTACTGCAAAATGATCCCGTCTCGCGTTTCCCATTAAAACATAGCCGACCACCTGGGCATGCTTCTTCATTTTCAAACTTTTCATCCACGACATTTGAAGATCGACAGATTTTTTTAAATCTGGGGTCAATCTCGGGGAAATGGACAATCCTCGAAACGCCCCTGCAACCCACACCTAGAATATTACTTTCCATTAATAAATCGTGTGTCACAATACAAATTAAAATATATAAACAATTAAAAATTATTATTAGACAGGAAGCGAGTATTGGGTCCCCTGTGAATTTTGTAGGAAACAGTCTGTTCCATTTTTTTCTATATTGAGACTGAATATATTTATTAGCATGAATGTAATGTGAAATACCGATGGTGGAATATTGAGTACCCCATCGACCCTCAATTAAGATGCGTTTATATGTGAGAAGATTTTACTCTTGAGAGTGGTAGATAATGTGTGCGCAAGTGTAAAGGCCTGAGAGAGTTCTCGCCAAAAGTACCAAGACAATCCAAGAGGTAAATGTTGCATCTTTCTCGCTAGAGTCCAGCCCCAGAAATTAATTGTAAGGCAACGGTAAGACACTCAAGAACAGAATTGCTTCTCTTATTGCATTGTCTTTTTTAAAAATTATGGGCCCCAGTAATTCTTCTTCCACGTATTCTACTTCAACACTTGAATTCTGCAAAAATCCCCTAATTGCTGGGCGTCTTCAAGTTCCAATTGCTGTGCTAAATCATGGTACATGCCTAAATGATAACTCCTTTGTATCCACGACTTGACCCCCTTTTTTCAAAAAAAAAAATTTTTCCGATAAGTACAAAACTAATAACACTGCTATTACTTCTCTTTTTTTTGTGTAGAAGACATCTTGAATAAAAATCACTTTCAGAACTGTCCAGTGCGTTTGTGTAAACGGTCTGGAGTGGACTCACAAGGGTTGCTCTCTGAGAGTGAACTCGGGAGAACTTCACTCTCCCGTGCCAAGAGCTCTGAGAGTTAACTCAAGAACTCTGGCTGAGTTCCTCTCACATGTAAATGCACCTTTAGATTCGTTATACAATATGTGTAGAGGAGGATGGAGGGATATCAAGTACTCTACCACCCTTGAAACCTGCTGGTAATTTATTAATTAAAGCAGGAAGTGCTGGTGGGCTGTGAAAAGTCATAGGTTCAGTTTTACACATGTATGTATATATATGTACCATACATGTGCAGAATTGATATTATATAAATCGGTTATAAATTCTATATTTGTTTACATATCAAGAAATAAAATATAGAAAAGAGAAACATTAAAAAGAACTGCTATATAATTACCTTTCTAAATGGTAGAGCATAAACACTAGTTTGGTAAGAGTTCAAATCACGTCCCACTGATGAAAAAATCATGGGTTGCACATGTTTGGCTATATTTCTAGTGAAATATGCATGAGTGTTGATGCCAAAATAGTGCCCTTCTTTGCTAAATATCCAGTCCCAAATAATTGGAGTTGTATATGGATATTGCTGTTTCATCCATTCTAGTATATCCAATAGATGTCTTTGTAATGATGTCCTAGTATGAAATTTACTTATTTACTAACATAAAGAAAATCTAATAAAAATTGTTGATATAACACTTACAGAAACGGTTGGTTTTTGGGCCTACATTTAAGACAGGTCTCAACTTCTCCAGCTCCAAGATGGATGTATTTGGCATTTTTATGAACCTCCATGACCTGTGCTATCATTGTTTTAATCACTGTCAGTGAATGCTGATTAGAAGTCGCAATGACCCAAGGCGAAGGCGGAAACTCCCTGAGATGTGCAAAGTCTTTGACTTTTAGAAGGAACTCTAGATTCCCGAAGACTTGCAGGTATGGGATCACATCAAGCCTGCTATTTTTGGCCATTTTTAAAATTTCTCTGATCTAGAAGTAAAAACAATCAATAATCGAAGGTGCAAAGTCAAGTTTTAATACCTCCTTTTCGGAATAAGCGGTCTTCGAGGTGACATTCTTTAAAATGCCGTTGTAAGGGAACATATCCTCATACTCAACAAGCAATGCATTGCAGCCGGCCTTTGCCAGCTTTGGTAAGAGTTTGCCTAGGAATGGCAGAGTTGGTGCTCCACCTTTGAAATCCAGGTGAACAACTTTCATGGTATGTTGGCTTAATCCTAAATTGTAATAATAATTAATAATTATTATAAATTTATTTTGTAAAATGTTGTTGTGAGGGAACTTAATTACTTCTTAATTCTTGGGTTATGCAAACAAATTAAAAAGAAATTAATTGTTACATTAATTATTAATAATCTCTTATAAAAATAACAATAAGAACAATTTTAAACAATCAAGCTGTTAGTAATAATAACAAAATTGTTATTGTGAAGGGATGTAGACTGTTGATATTGCTATCATGTTTAATATTTTGCCATTTAGATCGTTTTATCTCACATCTCGAGATTTGACAATTGTTTAACAAGGTTTCTTTTAAAATATTTATTTTAAGTTCTCTTTTTTTTCATAAGACCAATTAGTTTTATGATTACGGTGCCAACAACACCCACCACCAGCATCAACACCACGCTAAGAGAAATAGAAAAATTCTCTAATCCGTGTATACCATCAGATAAAATTTGTCCCAAACTACCAGAAAGAAAGACATTTTTTGTGGAAACTCCCTAGGGATAAGAGGATTTCCTTCATTTCTGGATTAAGGGGATTTGATTCTATTGAATATTTAATAGTGGTAGGGAAGTTTTATTAGGTCCAATGAGCTCAGCAGTGAAATTGCTGCTTATTGCAAGAAGAGCCCACATGAACCTTCTGGAGTCGTTTATAAACGTAGCTCCCATACCGTTTCAATTCTTGGAACCATCAGTATTAATGAAGGTTGCCTTTACGGTACAAGAATTTAATTTGAGGAATAATTGTTATTTATCTCGGTTGTAGTATTTTCTTTTAATTAAACTTGGTTAAATGAAGGGAAAATTTAAGTGCGAGAAGTTACCAGGGAGGAATAATGGAGCCATTCAACTTTTGAAGAAGTACCGACAAGTCAAAGACACGAGGTAAAGGTGACAAGGAAGAAAAAAAGGAAAAAGAAAAGAAAGGGACTCAAAACAGAATCCTGTGGGATACCATTTCCTGGATGTACTCCTCTGACAGAATATTGCTGTATCTAATCCTAAAGGATCTATGATTCATGAGATTAGAGTTAAATTGAAACCGTTCTGAGTAAAATGTCAAAATAAGTCTACTTCTTGTGCAATCAAACGCATTTTCTAATCCAAAAAACTAGTAGCCTTTGGCCATGATTGAATGCATCAGAGGTTGCATGCTCTGAGCAGACAAGATTCAGGGTATGATGGAAATAGGTTCTTGAATCGTATTACTGAATATTGGAATTGGAAGTCGCTTGGGTTAAAAAATGTCAAAATTTCACAATCCCATTTGCTTTGCTTGATCACATAGCGGACGTGATTTTTGCTTGTTTATAGGATTGAGATGATCACTGCAATGCATATATTGTTCAATGCCAATTTCAAGGGCAACAGTATACCCCACTACTAATCTGTCCATTTTGTAAAGACAAAGGGAAAAAAAGATGGAGTCCGTTTTATGATTTAGTGACTGGGAAGTTTGGTGGTTAGGGATGTGTTAATGTTTTTGAATATGTTGAGCCTGTGGTGAACACCTGCAGTTACCACGGCCCACACGAGGTGTCATCACCATTCAGTAAGGCCTCGCCAGCCAATCAGAGTGGAGCTGTTCCGTTTCCGTACTGCAGGCACTGCTTCAGTCTTCAGACTAATCATTAATCAGTAGACTCCCCGGCGGGCTCTCGCTATCTACCTGCGCAAGGGCACTCTCAGCATCAGCCTTCTCTCCTTTTCAACAGCCGACTTAGTTACCGGCCACCTGCTTCCCGGGTCCCTTTATAAGCTGCCGAAAGTGCCTGCTCACGTTTTCTGGCCTGTCGGCTGTCGAGGCTGATGCTGCGAGTGCCCTTGTTGTTCAGCTGGTATTGTCAGTATTATTCCAGATGAGCAGTGAGATCTCGTCGACGAGACGAGTCTAAAGTCAGGGGGCAGTGCCACTGCTTTACCGGAATTGCTCCATGTTTATCTTTTTTCCCTATTTACATTATATCAAGTGGGTCGACGATACCACTCTCTCAACGAAAGCACCTAGCCGGCTCATTCCATGACACAATTTTTTATTCTTCCGTCCTACTCGTTCATTAGTCCAAATGTCTTCAAAATTACGTTGTAAATGTGATAATATAAAACCTTGTGAACATGTAAATATGTATGTACAGTAAATAGAACAATAATTGTAAAAAGAAGAAACAATCTAAGAAAGCCAACTCTTATTTAAGTGATGAAAAAACATTGGATGTACTTTGCTTACAAGAAAGCCAACTCCAGCTGATTTCAGCAAGATCTTCCGAACATACATTCCCTGGCTATCCGAAGAGTTTTTCTGAAGACTATAAAGACGCATAACTAATACTATTCTGCTGCTCTATGAGAAGAGACTACAAGACCTACGGAGAATAAACGAACGAAATCCTTTCGCCCTCTGCAAACTCCGAAGAACAGATCGTCGCCCTGACCGTGGAGGTCATCTCACCTCCTCAGTCGTTAATAACTAGCTCTTCAGAGAGCTCTTACCTTCTTGGCAGCCACTAGACTCCCTTTCCAAAGACTCGAAAGGAGCTTTGAGCCGTACGAGCTCACAGTTGCAGGGTGCCCGGTACAAGCGGACGAAAGGAATTTCTATTTATCGTCCTTTACAGGACCCACCCTCTTAAACAGCTCCTCAGGGTACTCGCTCACGGACGATTTTACTTTTTGGTTCATCCAAATCGAAGATTTCTTCACAACCTGAAAGAAACCATTGAGTGCCGCTAAATATCAGCTCGTAATCGCCAACCTAGAACTGGCTCAGCTACAATAAGTCGCTGATAACCTACAAAAACTAGACACAGCCCCTTACGAACCCCGTCTGCTTAACCCTTTCTAAGAGAGCGAAAGCACTAAAGTCAAGAGGCTCCTGGAGCAGACAACTCTGGGAGTCGAAAGATCCTCACACTTCCTACAAACTAAACTATGAGACAAAAGGCAGGCAAATTCGTCTCAGATGAACTGCTACGAAACCTGTGGCTAAGGGCTTTTCCTAAATGGATGCACGAGATCCTAACCACCGGAGACGTCGCTGACCTCGACAAGCTGGCAGTAACAGCGAACAAAATCGCCGAATCAAGTATACGCTGTCGGAACCCACCAGCTGGAGAACAACTCTTCTCTGGACGCGTTATTCAGGCAATTGGCCGAACTAACGATGAAGGTCGAACAACTGCATCTACAACCACGAGGCCAGTCCAAAGTCGTACATGAACGCCTTCAAGGAAAAGGGGTGGCATCCGGCACTAGACTGGATTAAGTTACTATCACCAGAGATTCGGAGACGAGGCACGACGCTGTACAGCACCCTGCCCCCAACAATAAAACTAATTCTGCTGGCAGCTTCTCGAGCCGAGCCTGCCACTGAAATCGACTCAATCTCGGCCCGTCTCTTCGTCACCTACCCTCAGAGCCGGACATCTTTCTAATCAATACTGGAGCCGCAGTGCCGATAATTCCGCCACAGACGAGAACACCAGCAGGGAGACAGAGGGAATACCATGCGCAATACGCCGCTAACGGTATTACCGAATACTCGATGATAAAGATACAGCGGACAAGAAACCATCCCATTTCTCAGTTACAACAAGGACGGAATTGCCCAGGTCAAGTCAAAGTTCGACGCACTGACCGAGTACCAGAAGCCAAAGCTCATAAAGAACTTAGCACATTCCTCGCAAGGTGAACTTCTACGGACACTGTATTCTGCACGCCGCCGAAATTCAGTGCACACTCAATGTCTACAAGAAGGGCAGCAAGAAAAACGCCAAACGCCCTGTCATCTGGACAACGGAATCGTCGGAGGCCTTCGAAAAGACAAAGAAAGCCTTGCAAGAAGCCATCCGCCTTGGACACCCTGTCCCTGGCACTGATATTATCCTGAACTGCGACGCTTCAAATACAGGGATAAAAGCCGTGCGAGCAAGGATGGGTGCCGCTTGGATTCTTTTCCAAAGCACTCTTCCTGACTCAACAAACATACTCGACGTACGACCGGCGACTGCTGGCCATTTACAAAGCAGTTCGACACTTTGGAAGTTCTTCATAGAAGGACGACACTTCCATATTCGCACGGACCACAAGCCTCTTACCTTCGCATTTGTCAACGCGGGGAACGACACCTCGCCAATCTACACCAGAGCTACATCGCATAGTGCAATTAACACACATAAGCGAGGAAGACAATCCGGTAGCAAACGCTCTTTCCCGGCTCGACGAGCTGGAAACCGCTACCGGATGGGAGGACTTCGCAACAACACAGCAAGGTGAAAAAGAAGACGGAAGCCTTCCTTCTGAAGTATTATTCAACTGGGAGAAGGTCAAGATCCCGGGCTCACTTAAGGCAGTCCTATACGAAACAACTTCAGTAAGCCCACCATCTTGCCCCAGCTTTCAGGAGAGTAGTTTTCGAAATTTGTCTACAACCCAAGTCATCCAGGAATTAAGAGCAGCCGAAAGATAGTTACCGACGCTACTTCTGGCCTGGCATGAACTTAGACATCGTCCAATGGGCAGAAACCTGTGCCCCCTGCCGAGAAACCAAAGTTTTCCGACACACGATCTCATCTTTGGGATCATTCTCGCACATCCACATCGACATAGTCGGACCTCCTCCGCCCTCTGAGGGAATGCAATATTGGCTCACGATGGTAGACCGAAGTAAACTATGGTACCTACGATGGCAGATAATTTTGAACTCACCGTGAGCGGACGACTCGTTTGTCCAATCGTTCGAGCGTTCATCTTCCTGGTGTTCGGTTTTAAAGAAGTCCTCTTCTATGGTGTATGCTTCGCTCTTGGGTTTAGGCGCGAAGAAAAGCAGGTAAAACGTACACATCAAAACAAGAACTATCGCAACTAGGTAGAATCTCATTTTAGTCGCAAATCTGTGCCGATGCATTGATCAGCTGTGTTCGTAACAAACTGTCAAAATTGAACGGGTTTAAAACAAGACAAAAATGTAGAAAAAAATGAAAAAAGAAAAATTCTTTTTGGAATAGTTTTGTTCCGATTAAACCAAATGCTGTTGAAACTCAGTCTTTTGATAAACAAAAAAAGCTATTTGTTTTGCAATTTTAATCTTATTTTTGATTCCAAAGTAATTGCAACTTATTTGCCATGTTTTTTCTTATATAACCGATTGAAATACAAAATTGACTCTTGAACTTAGAGGAAGGGAGCCACATCAAATTACAGAAGAACGAAAAATTGTCACTTCATAATGCTGCTATAACAGGATTCTTTCCTCTCCTGAGCACGTACCTGTCGTCCAGACTATAGTTATGTACCTACCGGTCCAGTACTAGCCGCATTGGTAAAAACTTTAATGGCTACTTCTCTGATGTATTCCAGCATCTTCGACATGTTCGTAGCATTGTGGAGATATGCGTGGTTTTCAGGGATAGTCTGTCTCAAGCCGCAGAAACTTTGTTCTGCACAACCAGTAAGTAGCCTGGCGATATTAGTTCTTCTTGTGAGACTCATGAGAGGCATGTATCCAGAAGCTGGTTTTTTTCAATTAATTTATTTATTTATATTTTTTTAATAATAATTACAGATTGTAATAAAAATAAATAATTTTTTTTTTCGGTGGCAGACTGGAATGGCGATAAAGTCGCCGAAACTAAGCGCTATGCCCCTATGCATTGGGGATAAAAGTGAGTTTACTGTCCATTATCACCCCAAGGAGATCGATTCGGATCAGGACACTGGCTTCAATTTGGATTTCATTTACAGCAACACTCTCCACTTGCTAAAAATTGCCTTAGAGGTTTACTATGATTAATTTAAATGTTGCAGAGAGACTTTTGATATTGTAGATAACCTCCAAGAGGAAGAGTAGGGAGCTAAATCGTCAGCATAAAGAGCCATTTTTACATTCTTTGGGCGAGGTTGTTTTGTTAGAATCTACAATGAACAGGATGGATCTTTAGTGACTGGGATTTTTGGTGGCCCTGAAAAGTGCCAATATTGTATGGAGAAGTTGATCGGAGCAAGGTGACTGGTGTAGATGAGCCGAATGTTGTACCAGAATTCGGTTAGGAGCGAAGGGCCTAGTGCAGCTAGCACTGCGATGGGTCACGAGTGAGAGAGATGAGTGCTGTTGATAGTACTCTTATTGGTGTAACTAGTGATAGCGGCTTGCTCCATTATTGAAAGTTCAGTTGAGTTCCCGTCGACGAGTCTGCCTTAGGGCTTAAGCAGGGTTGAGCCCTTGGTTATTACACAGAGGTACTGCAAGCTCATTGGCTCATATGGATATGGAATACGAAACCATTGTTGAAGCAGTGGTGAGACTAGTGGAAATTGTGTTAACCACAGGCAGTCACCACGGGACCAAGGACAGATCCTTGAGGAACACCAGCAGTAACGTTGCTCGGTTGGAAAAGGGATGATCGAAAGGAAACTGGGTCTAGTCTGTATTGGTAGAGGTAGGTTCCTACATTTTTAGTATGTAGGAAGAGAAGTTATATTCTATGATCCGAAAATTATCTACTATCCTGTTTAGTTGGGCAGTGGTAGATAGTCCTGACCTGAAACTGCTCTGATATAATGAAGAATGATATTGTATCTATCCCTCAAGAAGAAGAGTAGAGAGAGATTTCATGAGTGTCCATTTTTATATTCTTTGGGCGAGGTATTTTATCGAAATATACAAGGAAAAGGATGGGTCCTAAAATAGAGCCTCGAGGGACACCTGTAGCAATGTCGCTCGGTTAATATTATAATATTAATTTTGTTTTGGATGTGTTTGGAAGAAATTGCATTAACCCTAGCTGAATGGTTGAAAGCTAATTTTGATATAATTATTATTAAGAACAAATAAATATCAACAATAAAATGGTTTAAAATTTGTTTATAATATTGTATTTTTTCTCAATCTAATTAGAATTTTTTTCTGTAGTAAGAGTTTAAAATACTATTATTGGGCTAGGAAAAACAAATCAACGTTAAAAATAGCAGACATATATTTACAAGGAATGGTTATTTGCTTTTGTTGTCATGATAGAGGCCGCCTTGGCCATGTTGTTTTAACTATGAGTCGGTCGAGAGTTTTGCTTAGGTTGAGCAACGTGTTCTGAAGCGGAAGAACCTTCTGCTGCAAAAATTCATTAGTTGAATAAAAATCGAAGTACTTGTTCATGGTGGTTGTGATATTTTTTCTGATGATGTTCAAGTTGTTGAGAGTGGGAAACACTCTGAGTCTCGTGTAGTCTTCGATGATCCTCCAGGGGCTGGTGAAGTTATGCCTAACGTTGTAATCCGTCATCCAACCCTGGTTCTGCGTGATGGTCTTTTCAATCGTGGCCACGTTACTTTTCAAGATGGACAACTGGATGAGTAGCTTGAAAAGATCAGATCCCGGGAACGAACAATACCAGAGGAATTCCGGAACGTCGGGCAGGGCGTCGAGGTTGGCCGCCTGGGTGCTTGCACAGGAGAGCGCCTTTCCCCATTTTTTAAGCAGGATGGATTTTTCGGAATCTGGTTCTTTGATAACGGCTAAGTTGAGAAAGAGAGAAGGCAGACTCGCTGGAAGGATCTCGCAAAGGACAGAAAAATGGTCGTGCCTCGACCACCCGGTCAAGACGTAACCTACGATTTGAGGGTGAGATTTATCGTTTAGAGTTTTGAACGCACCCAGCCACGATCTCTGGTTTTCATATCTCGTCATCAGATCTGGAAAGACACTTGTCGGCTTCGAGGCTCCTTTGAAAGCTCCGGCTACCCACAACTGCGTGTTCATTGCGAATTATTTTTCTCAAACAGCATTGCGAAACCCTTTATAAACAAATACCTTGGGAAAGACATCGAGGTAGGTTCTCCATTGGGGGTAACGCAAGGTTTCGAATACGTTTCTAGAATACACCCAGACCATAGGCTCAATGGTGTCGGACAGTTTGCTATTTTTTAAGGTCTCCTTACTCCAGGAACGCATCATGTCGTCCCAGATGATCGGCTTGACGTTCGGGTACTTTTCGGTAATGTATTGAGCGATTTTCAGCACATGGTTGATAAACAAATGTCTAAAAAGTATAAAAATCATCACAACGTAAGAAGGCGCTTTCTAATTGAAATATCTGATCTCACGTCGGGTTTATATTCGATCGTACGCAAAGCGGGCAGATGCCTAGGTGGAACACCTCGTCGGCACCGATGTGGATGTACCTCGCTCCCACGTGGAATGCCATCACCTGAGAGATCATCTCTTGGATGAGGAGAAACGAATCCGGGTTAGAGGGACAGATCGCCTGCGGGTACGGCGGCACTTCTCTAAGGTGTGACCAATCCTTCAACTTCAAAACGTGCTCGAGATGGCCAAACGTCTGCACCAACGGGATGACTTCAAGGCCCAGGTCGTGCGCCTGGGTGAGCAGCTCTCTCACCTGTCGATATCTTAAACATTTTAAACAATGAATACGGACATTTGCTTTTTACACATGTGTTGAACAACTAGATTAATATAGTGCGGGTGGTAACGTATTATGAAAAGACATTACCGATTGCCTTAGAAAAACTTCAGTCAATAGAAACGATAAATAGTGGACTGAGTAAAGTAATTTAGTAAAGTAAAGTAACTTCAGTCGATGTAGTTTTTAATAATAACTTTTTTTGTTGGTAACATATTCATTGAAGTATAAAAGGCTTTTAGAAAAAATTATGCATTAAATTGATAACATATAACAAAAGTAGTAGGAAGATAAAATGAAGTTCTTAAGATCTCAAAGAGCTCGTGTAAAAATACTAAATGAGAGCCACATCCATAATCAAAATAAGCTTTTTTTAACGTTCTTCTTAGTCACTTTGGTTACAAAATTGATGGGCTTATTGGCAAATTTAATTAATATATTTTATTAAGAGCTTACCCTCGTTCAACCAATATATCAGTTTTTAAGTCAAATGGATTCTTTGAGCGTACAAATTTGTGTGAACCTAGGGCTTTATCTTTATTTGTGCAAATCCTTAAATTAATTATTTTTTCTTGTGCTTTTTCGAATGATAGGCCCAAAAACGGACATTTCTTACTTACAATCCAATAATTCTTATAGTAGGTGTATATTATAGGTAGGTATATATTCTTATAGTATTTATCAACATAAATAATTATTATTTATGTTGCTATTTTTTCTTATCGCGTTTAACATCTTGAGAGTCACTGACCATTGGATATTGGTGGACACGTTCTATTATGGGCGATTGCTGAATTTTCTCATTGTCCCGCACTTCTTCCAATACACCGAATCGAACTTTTGATACACTATTTTATAAAGAAATTTTCTGTTTTTGACTTGCCTCTTTTATCGTGTACGAGTTCCTGGCGGATATGTTGACGATCTTCCCCGTATATGGGAACATGTCTTCGTATTCGATCAGCAGCGTGTCGCACCCATGGGCGGCCAGTGCGGGCAGCAGGACCTTCAGGTAGGACAGCCTTGGCGGTGCCCCTTTCAGATCCAAGTGGACCACTCTTTGCGTTTCAGTGTTAAAACCTGTGACAAAAACAGCTATTTTTCAATATTCGCCAGGTTTTACTGATTAAAATCCTTACCTTTATTGAATTCGGGCTTGATAGTCGCTCTGAGCATCCCGTTCTCTTCGAGGAACCTACGACGATCCGTCGTGGAGTCGATGTGGATGTCCTTCACGATCAAGAAGACGAGCACCAACGTCATAAATAATATAACAAGCAGAAGACATCTGCGATGTTTCCTCCACATCTCTTTCTCTCTGTATACTTTAAAATAAATTTCATTGTTTTTCTTTTCCCTCTTCTTAAAGCGCTTTATCATAATAATAAATACAATCAAACAAAAAGCGGAAGGTGATCAGCTGTGATAAACATTGGAAAATACAACTGTAATTTGACAATTTTCAAATGCTCCCTAATGAAACTGTAAATTGTTATTTATTTGCAATGTTCTCTATACATTATCAACTTTCAAACTGTAAACTGTGTATTAAATTAACCACGACCTAATTACAAGCCATATAAGTAAAGTTTTGGATCGTTAAAAGTGCTCTCGTATAAATTGGATTAGAATGAATAAGGATAATATTTGTGAAGCTTTGTCTAATGGCATCTAGTTGCATAAGATTTTATGCTTGTTATGTAACAATCCAGTGGCAAACTCTTAAACTTTTGTTCGCAATAAAAGCCCATTTGTATATATGTCGGGTTCGAATACAGGGCCGCTGGATTCGAACCCGGGACCTTTACCTTACCCTGATGAACGGCGTGTCAACGCCTAAACTATTGTGGCCACGCCTTCACTGTCTGTTATTAACTACTTAGATGTAGTTGTTACTCTCAGACTATCTTTTTCTTTCCATTCATGTTTAAAAGAAGACTCGTTTAATGGTTAATTTGCAAATGAAGATCCAAAGAAGAAAATAGATAGATTGTATAATTCTAGTAGGACAATTGGTTATTAGTAGTTGCTGACACTCTAATGAAGCAAGGCAATGTACTTATGATCATGATTTTTATCTTTTTTCATAAATAACACGTTTTCCATTATTTTTATCGGCTTTTTTGACTACTGTATAGTTATTATTTGGAGGCCGTGAGATGCGGTCGGCACTCTCAACACGACAGAAAAGAATGGTACATCTACACGGAAAACAAACACTTTGAGCCCTGAAGATGATCTAAATAAAGATCGAAACGTTGGCACGATAAAGAAAATGTTTTTCTAAAACCTACGTCACATCAGACCGCATCTCACGACCTCCAAACAATCATTAAGTAACGGTCACTAAACCCCACACATTATTGTATAAATTTAAAAATTTTCTAGATATATTCATTTAGAGGGACAGCTTACAAATAGGATATCTCAGTCTTACATGGCATTTTGGAAGCAGTGAAAAATACGCACCTATAAAAATATCGTTTCATTTATTAAATTATGAATCAGTCCCAGTTTGGAGTGCGTTGAACCTCAGGTTGATATCATCATATCTATTAGCTCTTTCCGTTTCCCGACGGACGTCACCTGATCAACTGACACCCTTTGTCGCTCTTCGAAGGCTTCCTAAGTCAAACGGCACTTGTAGGGTGGCCGGGTAAAGTCGATATTTCAATCTGTAGACATATTTAAAGTTGTTTTGCCCTGATGACGACCTTAAAATAGGTCGAAAGCTTGGCAATAGCAACTAATTTGCTTTCTTCTTCAAATCCATACCTTGATTCAGAGTGTTGTAACAAAAACAAAAATGAGATTTTTCATGATTTGTTTTTCTTGTAATATTGAAATCTTTATCTAGTTGTTTAAAATAAATTTAATCTCTAACTAAATTGATAGGATCTTATATCATCTATGCTACTTCCTTTGAATAAAAATATAATGTGATTCGTAGGGATTAAACCAAAAAAAGGCGTTTTCCTAAAAGGACTTTACGCTTGTTTTGTGTTTACCTTGTGCATAAGAAACACAGAATGAATCTATATTTTTATTGTTTTAGTATGTACAGATTAGTGGACAAAAACAGAAGAAAGAAGAGCTTTACAGAAAGTCCAAAGAATAACATGCTTTAGCTGTTCTTAAAAACAACACAAATGCAATGGAACCTGAAGTTGTCATCCTTACTTGATGGCAGCGATTGAGGAATTGAGAATCCGTCGGTCAATGGAACGAAAGCATCAAACAAAAGCCAAAATTGTCGACAATGTTCAACTGACATGGCTAAAACTATCTCTGACTCATCAGAAAAAATACACTTTGAAAAACCAAACGCACGATGGAAAGGTAAAACCAAAGAAAACAAATCTAGAGCTCTTCGGCATAAAGGCGCCTAACAGTGAGCACCTCATGTCCCTCGCCTCCCCAAACACCAAAACATGTGGGCTGCATCAGATAGCCAGGCAGCCTTAAAAATTCTAACGGCCTGAATTCCCTAAAAAAACTGGAATATTTAAATAGCCTAACACTTAGTTGGGTCCTAGAACATGAGGGAGGTTCAAGCAACGAGGCAACATACAAATTAGCTAAGAAAACAGTCTCAGAACACACAGTTGAAACCCAAATCCATTTTGTGGCATAAATTATAGCCACATTAAGAAAGATCTGGAATTTTTGGTTACTAAAGGACAAACACTAGGAATGTATGCCAGGCATGAGGCAAGCAAACAAAATTCTCGCAAAATCCACCAAATGGAAGGATTTCTATTCAACACTCAGAGGTAAGTATTTCAGCTATAGCTCCTGTACAACACCATGATCAATATCGTCTAGAGGAGACAGACATTAGAGCATACCCTTTGCAACAGATAAGAAATGAATGTGGTCCATGGAAAGCCATTCTAGAGCAATATAGTCCGACGCCATACCTTGATACTATAGTTCTGTACTTCATTAAAGAAATGACCATCTTCCAAGAAAACCATTTGCAGAGCTCGTACACGATAAACGAAAGTTTTTGCAAAAGGGGGAAATCTCTATGAGCTGAAAAAATCCTTAAACTCGTTTAAAACCATATTAACCTGATGGGAAGTTGGTGTCCGAGTGGATCGAGGTCACGATAGCTCAGGTGGTAGAGCAGCGGCGTATCAAGCCGAAGATGGTGGGTTCGAATCCCGCTCGTGCCATTGACTTTTTTATCTCAAATGAAAACCTTAATTAATTAAACTGATGTTTACATTACAGGAATGAATCGATCCTGCAACCGGGCAACTACACGACTATTAGATGGGAGATGACTAAGAAAGTGCATTAACAAAATCCAATTTGAACCATCAATTAATACTCTCCAGCCCTTATGCAAAGTCGCAAGAGTAAGGTACAAACTAGAAAATCTAGAGCAATACCAAACTAGACGCACCCCTTAAAACTTGATAAGCAAAGCAAGACGCAAAAAAAGGTGTACTTTTTTTTTGCAAATGAAGTTTTTGATTCCTAGTTGAACAGAGTTTTCAGTTGAATTTCTTTAAAGTTTGTTGGAAATTTTTATAGTAGAAAATATTGTCTAAACTTGGCAAACCGACTTTGGCAGATATCGGGCATTCCCTTTCTTAAAACAATAAGACAGGATCGAAATGCAAAAATAGATTTTGCCCTATTCAATCTTGCCAATCGAAGAGTGTGAACACAAATCAAGCTGACAGCAAGGAAATATTCAATTTCATTTTCAATTCAACCCAATATTTTAAATTTCCTATTAAGTATTTTTTATAGTCCGGGAAATACAGATTAGTTTTACACTCTCAATTCGGGATTTAGTAAATACCAAGAGGAACAGCCACGATTATGATTTGGACCAAAGTTGTCATTTTTATTACGCGAAATCATTCGATATCAAAATCGTCCAGGCAGAACGTAAATATTTAGTGCTCGCACCTTTGGCACTGATCCGAAAGTTCTGAGGGCCAGACATTGTAAACACGCAGAGTTACGACGTCTTCTTGGCTGTTGGTTTAGTTTATGTCCCAATAGTCCACACTTGGGCAACTTATCTTTCAACGTGCCTCATCCTCTTGCTCTTCCTCATGCAACATTAGCATGCTCCAGTGTCCGTATTAGTTCATCAACCGATATCATGATGGATGTTCCCGATCCAATTTCGTTGCAGCAGCCTCAATTACTTTGCCAAAATCACGGGGAAAAAACGAAATCGCGGAGGAAACTCGATAAAATTCTATTTAAAAAATCGAAATGTGCACATTCTCGAAGAATTACAGTTCCATGACGATGCGCATTTCAAGAACTTGACAAGAATGTCAACGACAAATTTTCAGATTCTTCTAAAAATTGTAGGACTTGTCATTGTCAAACAACCAGATTCAGAGATGCAATTCGGGCACTGGCCATTACCCTGTGGTGCAACCGGTGATTCCTTCATGTCATTAATTTATTTCTTTAAAGTTTCTAACCCGCAATTTGAAAACGTTGAGAAGTAGGAGGGTTCCTGGGATCTTCATATTGAAGAAATGCAGCAATTTATTCTTACGTGACGGTTGAAATGGTGTCCAGTTGAATGTAGGATATGGATGATAAGATATGTATGCGAACTATGATGAACTGTAGTTTCCTTCAATTCCATCAGCGCTCTTCTTAATAGTTTATGCTATACTTTCGAAAAATACCACCTCAGGCTCTTGATATTTTTCTTCACTATACTTTCTTCACTTCACTACAGCCATAGAATATTTTTCCCCAAGTTCTTTAGAGCTCCATTCGTTTGATTTTAGCTTCCCTTAGCGTGTCATAACAACAGGTGAGCCCAGTAAACTTCGATAAACACCATAGTGACCTAAGATAAAAGCCATAAAATTTCCAGCCATTTCATTCAAGATTGAACCAAGATTGGGAAAGCTGTAAAAAGTTACAGTCCCTTTAAGATGTTCAGGACGAAGGTTTTAAAGGGGGACGGTACGAAAATAAAACAGCCTCAACTTTCCTTCCTTCCGACAATATTTTTCAAAGACCCCCCCGCAGAAGCTCATTCTTGATCTTGATATAGGGATAAAACGAAGTTATTTGTGTGTGTGACGCACGGAGTCAGACTGCCAAATCAAAAATATAACACCGCCTTAAGACGCAGGTTACCTCCAATTAACCGAAAACGATAAAAATCAACAAGGTTGCTAAGAATCCTCCGAATTTTCAGCTCAATTTAATCAAATTTCAACGTTTCATTTAATTAATGGTTCAATTTGTTGGACCGTTTGTCATTCTCGCTTGGTCTACCAGCTTGAATCAGAAGAATCACAAGGAAAAACCCTTACAAGGAAAATAGTTTTGATAGTTAATAAATTTCGATTTTTTTTTTATAATCATTATTATATTTTTTCCCCTTTAAATGATGATTTGGATGATGATGATCTCTTTTTGGATCATCTTCATTCTACGGCTGAACCGTTGTTTATTGAGCGCAAATTCTTTTACATTTTATTTATAAAAATATTTTCGAACTTTTCAGATAAACCTCCGAATTTTCAGCTCAATTTAATCAAATTTCAGTTTCATTTAATCAATAGTTTTTTTTAAGTTCGATATTATATGTTTTTCCTTTTAAGTGACTTTCCTTGGGTCATCATCTTTTTACAGCTAAACTGTGTTTCTTGAAGAGCAAATTCTTTTACATTTTATTTATAAAAATATTTTCGAACTTTTCAGATAAACCTCCGAATTTTCAGCTCAATTTAATCAAATTTCAAAGTTTCATTTAATCAATAGTTTTTTTAAGTTCGATATTATATGTTTTTCCTTTTAAGTGACTTTCCTTGAGTCATCATCTTTTTACAGCTGAACCGTGTTTCTTGAAGAGCAAATTCTTTTACATTTTAAGCACTATTTTCCTACTTTTCAGAGAAAACTCCAAGTAACCGAAAGCGATAAAAATCAACAAGGGTGCTGTGAAGCCTACGAATTTTCCTCTCAATTTAATCAAATTTCAACGTTTCTTTTAGTTAATAGTACAATTTATGGTCTGTCATTGTTGCCTGGACTTCCAGCTCGAATCAGAAGAATCACAAGAGACAACCATTACAGGAAGATCTGTTTTGACAAATCAATCATTTTTTTATTGATTTATTTGTTATTTTTTAACGTCCATTATTATATTTTTCTCCTTTTAAGTGACTTTACCTGGGTCTTCTTTCTGCAGTTGAACCGTTGTTTATATTTTTTTACATTTTACTTGTAAACAGTTTTCCTACTTTTCACTACAGAATAGTTGTTATATAATATTTATTCAAAAATTTATGTAAATTATATTTTCGTGTTTTTTCAGGACGTTCATAAATAATCTATAACCTGGTTAAATGTATGGAAAAACTCGGTTTTTAATAAATAAAATTTATAAATCGCAGTGATTTGTTTTTCTCTATTCGTTATTGATTTAAATAGAGACTATTCAGAGATAGTTAGAGACTCTTGTGGTGACAAGAGAACTGTTTTATTGCAACGTAGACGTCATGCACAGCATGCTCAACGCCTCGACAACAATAACCATCTACATATTCGGACCATCATTCATCCCAAAATGAACCCAAAATATGAACACAGAACTAGTTTAAAACATGATGTTTTTTGTGGGGGTGGATTTATTTGGGCCAATTTTTAACCAATTTTAAATATTTCGGCTTTTTAGTAACGTTTGTGTAATGTATACAGTTCAATCATGGCGATTATACAACTATAATTTTTTTTTACAAAATGAGTTAGAGCATTACCGGGATAAGACAGGATAATTATTGTAATGTTTCAGTATTAAACAGGATTTTTTTAACAATAATGAACTCTAATGTTCATAAAGATGTTAGATCATTAAAATATTATTATACTTTATATTCGCCCTTCAATTTATAAAATTGCCACGTTAACAGGAAAATGTTGTTTCCGTTTTTCGATAACAACTATATTATGTCGAATTTAACGTTCGTGAGACCCAGCTGGAAATTTTTATAAATAAAAGTTTTCTTTTTCAACTTTTGTTTAATATTAATGATAAGAAAGAGCCAAGATGGAGATGACAGTTAACATAAAATTTCTCCATAATTAACTTTTCTTGAAAAAGAAGCTAACAAATCGTCCTGTAAAATTTTCTATTAGACTTATTTATTTAAGTATTATTTAGACTATTTATTATAACCATTATATTTCGAGGTCCGATTAACCAAATATCTTCTTTCAATTAATTAATCTTTATGTAAGGTATTGGTTGAATTATTTATTATTTCGGTTTTGTGCTGAATGTATATTAAAAAAATGGGTCATATAAAATAAAAATGTATAAATTATTTCTGTCTATTCTATGCCCATTGTTAAGGTCATGTTTGTTTACCATTTAATGTCGGTCCAGTATGGATTTTATTAACATTTTTATTCTATCATTTATCAAAATTTGGTTTGTGTTAATCGACCAGCATAATTTTAACACTTGATCATGCGTGACGAATAAATTTCTAAAGTTTTGATCTAGATCCAATGTCATGCATTTTTTTCGAATGCTCAGGTCTCAGTACTTACTCAATTTTAGCCGACACGAGTCAGGCTTGTCGGTGACAACAGCCAGGCTCAGAACACAGAACGAGACTGGACCCGAGTGATATCCTCCGATGAAATAAACCGGGCCAGACCCCATCTAGCGGTTGCTAGTAAATAATACTAGATATGTCTATATTGAACCTTCTTCTCCTGGAAAGTGGAAAAATGATTTCGCCAAGAATTGGGGAAAAAATGGTGTTGTTTGAACTGATGATGCAAGGTAGCAACCGACCTACGATATCGACGTCCTTATGTATATATAAAACACAAATAAAGGCGGATTTCTTGACAGAGGCTGTCATTATTGACTATTTCCTGGTCTTATTCTTACTCTCAAGCGTCAAATTCGTGGATTTTTTTCTAATCAGACAATTGTAAAATTCAAAGGGTCTGCGCGATAAACAGCGAGCGCAGGCGGCCCGCGATCAAGCAACAAATTGTAAAATTGATTGAATAATTCTAAAATTTTGACAATTATGCCAGCCTTATAATCACTGAAGATCCTAGATGAATTTGAAGTCAAAAATTGAAATCTCGTAGAAAAAAAAAATGAGTTTATTATAATTTTATCCAATTTTTACAATAATTTATTTTATTTTTAAACGTAATATTTACATTTAAAAAAAAATATATATATATAAGAGGTACAATTTATAAATTGTTAATAATAGAACGCTTTTAGTTCAAGGTTTAGGAACATCGTAGCTGATCTTGAACAACAAAGCAATTAGCATTAAAATCAGCATTAAATACAAAGACTTTTATTTTCAGTATGACTTTTTTTTTAAACGAGGGTTCGCAACAGCAGAGGTCATATAAACCCTCAGGGGTGCCGGTGTTTTTGAAAAAAAGCCCATTTGTAAGTATGTCGGGTTCGAATGCAGGGCCGCTCCTTACAGTGATGAGCGCCGTGTCAAATACTAAACCTTGCGGCCACCGACGCCCTTGTTGTATGACATTATTAAAGACGCTCTTGTACTACACACATTCACACTTATAAATACATTCTCCCGAAACAGTTGAGAGTTTAGGTCGATGATTAACTAGACAGGAAACTGCGGTTTAGATGGAGAAAAAGAATTTCTTTTAATGTAAAGCAAACAACGAAAAATTATGAAGGTCCTTCCATTCAGACAGTGTCATTTAATCATATTGGCTCGCACCTCATTTTCAACTACCACCACAAATCACTCAAATTCAGATCCCGTTTAAAATCAGAAACAAACTGGGAATAGGGATTCGCATGATCAAGATCTTTATACAGCTGAAAGCGAGTTGATGGCAGAGCAAGTTTCTCAGACTCCTCTTGACGTCGAGTACTGCACAAGAAAATATTCCAGATTTTAAGGACATATTTAGAGTGAAGCCAGTGGGTATCATTAGATCGGTAGATATCTCTACATACAGCACGTAACTAGGAATTGAGGAGGCGAGGCCAAAAGCCTTCTTAATGTAAAATCTCTGAAATTTTTCAACTACATCGTACCGATGATAACGGTAAGCTTGATGTGCATTGAATACAGACCTAGAAACATTAAATACAGCTAATTGTGGTGTACTTATGTACTACACACATATTCATGCTTATAAATAATTCTCACGAAACAGGGTTAACAGAAAATATATCTGGATGGAGCAGGTTGTCGACAGTACACCTTGGTCAGTTCTGGTCATGTGGAAGATTTATTTCACTTCCTGGGAGTGTGTTCTGGGTACGCTTTTGGATCGGGCTTCTTTCTGCTCACAACCTTTTGTTTTCCCTCAATTCTCCTGCAACAATGTATGCATTCTTTCGAAATTTTTGAAAGTGTGTCGGTTGGAAATTTAGCTGCTGGGGATGCTTGGGGCCTGGGGGTCGTCGGAGGTGGTTCGTCCGTGACGGGTGGGGAAGCCGGGCGCGTTAGCCCTGTGACCTAGGGGATGTGGACTTTTCCATATTGATTTCGATGTAAATGGTTTATATCCACCCCGAGTTGGTCACAGTATAAATAGAAATTGACATAAAGTGATAAAGGTTTCCCTTCCCCTCTCGTGGCGGTCTGGCTTTGACAGTGCCTGGGCCCAGGGTGCTCCTGGTTTTCTGCTTCCGACACCTGTTTGACCTTTGGCCGTGTATCTGTGATAAGGCCAAAAGAAGAAAAAATGTATGCTTCTATTTCTAGCTTCTGTAAATAGATCATAATAATAAAACTACTGCAGATAAATTTCATTATTTATTCTTTTATAGGATTATGTAATCAATAGGTTCGTTTTATCACAGCGATCAAAACAAAATATACGTATGGTCAAAACTTTCATCAAACTGTTACATAAACGTAACAAAGGTCGTGGAAGGATTTCTTCCCTAGATGACGATGTTCTGCGAGCTTTGGTCGAAGAAAATCCCAGAACAATTGTTCAAGAACTTGCGTAGATTTCAGTTAGCAAATCGACGTCGCTGACCATCTTAAGACAATTGAAAAGGTGAAAAGGCTGAAATTTGGGTACCTAGTGCATTAAACGATTGTCCAAAAAAATCATGTACGTACATACTTTCCATATTGATCAGGCACAAGGTCACTTGCTGGGTCTGTCTCCACTCGCGGGTTTTTGGGTTGTTCAAACGCGTTTCGGCATTACACCATCTTTAGTGAGGAGCTGTCACTCAGTCTGAGTAGGTTTAAAAAAATTCAAATACGACCCTATACATCCTGACACTTCATTTTAAAGGTCGTTTTACGCTGAAAACAATGGTACAATCGGATATTAGTGAAAAAATGACAAAGTTATGGCAAAAAGTTAAAAAACATGGACATTTGGTTTGCTATTTATTAATCACATTTCATGTTGGAACTGCAAGCCTTACATAAAGATGCAAAGATTTGCTCTTTTCAACCACTCTTCACCGGTGCTCAGAGCGATGAACTCAGGGGAGATGAATTGCCAAGCATTTTCAATCCTTTGCCATAGTTCTTCGACTGAGGTTGCTGGGTTATGATTAACGTAGACACTGTTTTTTAAATGGCCCCATAGAAAATAATCAAGTAAAGTGAAGCGAACTGATGAGGTTGTATCTACCTATCCCGGAAGTGACGATTCAATTAAAGTCTCACCTGCAAAGAATTATGTGTGGGGCATCCATCAAGCTGGAGAATCATTCTTTGACGTTGTTGCAGAAGAAGGATCATCCACTTGATGACAGGAGTACGAAATTCTCACATTTTCCTTTGCCCACGTTCGAAAATTTGAACGGTTTAATATGTCAGTAGAGATGAATTTGGATTCTTCAGTCTATAGTATGTATGGAAGAACGTTTTCTTCAGCCCCCTAAATCGACATATGTGCAAGAAACATAAGACCCTGACATAATAAGTCCCAGGACAACATGAAAGCCATACGGCTTAAAATTGTAAGTCCGGAGTTCATCTCTAATTATATTTTTGAAAAACTTAAACCCTTCCAACATTTCGGAGAGAGGAATTCGGATTTTAATGAGCTTACAGTAAAATATTCAGCTCGAAATTACGCTGCCGGGTACTTTTTGCCATAGAGCCATTGTTTTCAGCGTAAAAAAATCCTTTAAAATAATGTGTCGGGATGTATAGAGTCCTATTTGAAATTTTGAAGTTGAACTGGGCCTGAGGTAATAATTTATCTCCCAAAAAATGTTAAAGTTTGAAACTAGACTAAAAAATATTAAATTATTCACCACACAAAAATATTAAAGGCTTATTTTTTTATTTTTTTTTTTTTATAGCGTCATCGGTTCAAAAGAAATTCAGCCAGACCATCTAAAAAGGACACCCCACTTGACTTACTCGCGACTTGGTCCACGCGGGTCTTTATTTTAATGAACCTTTCTAATGTGATGCAGAGTGCAAGTTTGGCTTTCTAATATAACGTCTCTTTTCTCAAATTATTCCCTTGTTCAGTCCATTTCAGTCTACACATGTCATTATAGGAATCCACAGTCAAAATTTCAGCCCCTTAGATCCAGGTGTTTGGTCTGTGCGTTGCAGGCATATTGACCCGTCATTTAGAATTTCTTTTTGGCTTTTTGGAAGAATGAATACGTGTCTGTTTGTTTTTAAAAGTTGACATTCAGTTAATACATGTTCTACAGTCAGTCAGTCACGGAACAGTTTCATGCCCTCATAAAGATTGGGTGCATTGGCGACAAGCGACGGACCCAAAGGTATATAAACCCAAATCAGACATAGTGACAGACTGTTCCACACTGAAGATGACACAATGCCGAAATGCATTTGAATAGCTCAAAAAACCCCGAGGGGAGACAGACCCAATATTTCACCTTGATTTATCACATCATTTATTTCTTCTGTCTGTTTTATGTATTCATTGTTTTCTTTTAATTTTATTTTATTATTAATGTATGATAATTTTACTGTGTTTATTTGTTTTATTTTATTTTGCTTTATTCCTTTACCTAGCTATTTTTATTCACTTGTTTATTTATTTATATTTTATTTTTGTTTTTAAATTTATTTATTTTTTGCACACACACACACAAATACACTTTTTATTTTTTATTTTTTTAAATTGGTTTTGTTATATTGTCTACATATATAATTAGTATATTTTGCTTTTATTTTGCTTTTTGTTAATATTTCTTTGCATGTATTTTTTATGTTTGTATTTTTTAGAAATTCAAACGTTTTATTTAGGCATATTGACCCGTCATTTAGGATTTCTTTTTGGCTTTTTGGAAGATTGAATACGTGTCTGTTTGTTTTTAAAAGTTGACATTCAGTTAATACATGTTCTACAGTCTGGGATACGTTGCATGTGGTGCATTGCGGAGGTGTTTCACTGTTCATGAGGTGAGTATGTGTGTAACAGGTGTGTCCGATCTGTATTTTGATGTTCCGTAGTTTATTGTCTATGATGTTGTGCCAAGCTTGTTCCCAATCTATACACATTTTATGTTTTAGGTGTGATTCTAAATCTCCACGTGGGTTCGCTATACTGGAATTCCTTGTGTTGTTGCTCTTTTTGCTTGTCGGCTTGAGTATTGCCTTGAATATCACAGTGGCCAGGCACACACATAAGGATTGGTTGTTTATTTTGATCAATCTTTGGATTTGTAATGAGGATGTCATGGATTAGTGGGCTAGTGAAGATGTTTTTTATGGCCAGATAAGTATTGGTGCAGATAACATCATTTTTTAAACTGTAAAGATGACGTTGAGTGTTTTTTTTTATTAGTAATATTTCTGCAGTCGAGTTGTTACATATTAATGGACGTTTAAATTTGTACATTTGATTGCCATGAACAACTGCGGCACCTACTCCATTGTTGGATTTGTATTCGTCAGTGAAAATAAAATCAGCAACAAGGGTTGCTTTAACTCTTAGGAATTCCTGTTTTACTCATGTATTGATGTGCTATTGCTGTATTGCTAGCTTTTAAAGTTTTATTGCCTCTCACTACATTTTAAAACGGTCGGGGTTTAAAGTTTGAACCGCACTCTGCGGGAATTTGAACGTAGTGTTCTGTAAGTATGTGAAAGAAGAAATGAGTCGAGCCTTCACTCAACCTTCGATGAATGTGTTACTTTTTTTGTAACGTGACACCGGCGGCGCCTGTTTTCGTACTGGACTGTTTTCGTCCTGGCCCTTTTCCCTTGAAAGGATGAACTACAATGTCCAAAACGATATACGTCGTCCAAGAAGGGCCGGCCAACGCTTTGGCACTAAAAAAAGACAACTCCCAAGTTGTTATCGCTGGAAGGAACGGTATTAATACGAATAAAATATATTTTTGAAACATTGTTTACATGGATTTTATTTTCTTAGTTTTTAAGATATTCTCCATTGAGGAGGACGAGTTCGTTGAAAGGAGCAATCTAAGAGTTGGGAAAAACTTGAATCTCAATTTTTCCTGCAACGATGTAGCATGGAACAGTATTGATGGCATGTATTTGAAATTGTAATGTAAACTGTTGGGTTGTTTCACATGAAATTTCCGATTTCATAGTTTCAGAAATTCAGAGTGGATATAGCAGTTTTTGTTGTTTACTTCCAATTGTTTACATATTATAATTAAGCAGTTACTAATCCTCAATTTTTGTTTATAATAACTAGCTCCCAAATTCATAACACAATTTTTAGTATCGCCCAAAATATGATGAAACGTGATTTTGTGTAATATTCCTTTACGAGTTTAGACTTGGTCATTCGGTAGCTGAGGCTCAAGAAATATCAGTACGGTGTTTAGGGAAGAGCATGTAAATGAACGAACCATTCACCCTTGGTTTGCTAAGTTTTTGGAGGGAATACTGTAAACAAGCCCCGTGTTAGACATCCAACTTCAATTGACAACGAAGTCCTTAAGCTTCAGGTGAAAGAAAACCATTAACAGTCAAAGGACTCACAGTACGACTAAATGCAAGTGCAGCTAACATGTCAAGACAATTAAGAAACATGGGAAGAGTCAAAAAGCTTGATCTAGGTCCCTCATGAGCTCACTGAGCAACAGCAATTAAACCGCCTTGAGACATGCGTTTCATAGCTCGCCAGGCAACAAACCAAGCCTTTTCTTCAACGAATAATCATTTGTGATGAAGAGTGTATTGCATTTGACAATCAGTGTCGGTCAGAGCAGTAGTTAAACATCGACGACAAGACAAGACCAGGACACATGGCAAAGCCAAATTTAAAAAAAAAAAATTGATGGTATCCTTAAGTGGTTCATGGCTGGAATTATTCACTACTCCTTTTTACTTAGAGGTTCCTGCAAGATAAATTGGAAATATCCCATACTCCTCCTCGACAACACCAGGCCTCATGTTTCAAAACATACAGTAAATAAATTGAAAGAGCTTGACTACGAACTTCTTCAGCATTATTCTCCAGACTTTTCTCCAACTGATTTTCGCCTGTTTAGGAATTTAGACAATTTCGTCAAAGGAAAAGTTTTTGAAACTGATGTTCAAGTTCAAAATACATTTTTAAATTTTGTTTAATTTCAAAGCTCAGAATTCTTCAGTTCCGGCATAAAAAAAGTTGGTTGGTCACACATTGGGAAAAATGTGTAGAAAATGAAGGTAAATACTTTGAATAAAATGATTTTGTTTTTATATAGTAATTTTATTAAAAAATCTTTAATTTGGAAACGGGCATTTCATGTGAAACAACCCAATAAAAACCTTAGATTAATTATTATTATTAAGTCAGTTAAACACTCATAATTTTAGACCACATTTTGGCCACTGCCGCTACGAATGGGGCTGTTGTGGTGTGGAACTTGAACCGTCCTTCGAGGTCGAAGCAAGAGCATGTCTTCGCCGATCATAAGCGCACTGTTAACAAAGTTAGTTTTAATCCGGCTGAGCCTTCATGGTTGATATCTGGATCGCAAGATGGTACAATCAGAACGTTTGATCTCAGGACGAAATCCTCCACAAATATTTTCTTCAGGTATTACCTTAAGTTATACATATATATATTTATGTTGTGGGCTTACTTGTACTAATAGCAAACGTTAAGTAGTAACACGGAGAGTGTGAGGGATGTTCAGTTTTGCCCAAATTCCCATATGAGCTTTGCATGTGTGTCGGAAAATGGCAATGTCCAGACCTGGGATATGAGGAAGCCTGACAAATGCGTTTTGCAGTTTACAGCTCATAGCGGCCCAATTTTCGCATGTGACTGGCATCCCGACTGTCCTTGGTTAGCCACCGCTTCAAGAGACAAAACCATCAAGGTAAATCAGCTTCGTTATTTTTATTAATATATAAAATAAAAACAACAGTTATATAGGTTTGGGACATGTCGTGCAAACCGATTCTGGAGTATACGATCAACACTATTGCATCAGTGGGCAGAGTGAAGTGGAGGCCACAGCACAAATACCACATCGCATCTGTAGCTTTAGTCGTGGACTGTTCAGTTAATGTTTGGGACGTCCGTAGGCCGTACATCCCTTATGCGGCATTCACAAAGCACAAAGATGTGGCGACTGGTATCTCTTGGCGTGGCGACCCAAATATCTGCCTCACCACAAGTAGAGTGAGTTTTTTGAATTTATTGTTTAACAAGTTCATCATGGTGTTGGTTCACAAGAGGGTTGATGCCACAGAGGTGCCAGGCTCTCAACTGTTTCAAATCTCTTAGAAATTATCCACAAGTCATTTGACATAGGTTGGCTGTGAACATATTAAAAAAATAAATAAATAAACTTTTTTGTACCACCACTCTTGATTTCTTTGTATTTATGTAGTTTTAGTCTGATGTTTTGCCCCTATTTCAAAGTATGTTTTGTATGTAAGTATGATTTTGTTCTCTCGGGGCTAAACAGGATAAGTCAAAAAACACAATTTTTCAGTATTGTAATTGTAAAGTTTAGAACTTTGGTACAAATAGAATTATCAAAATTTTGACCGCTTGACCAATTAATACTTTTATCTCAACCAAAAACCTTAATTAATTTTTCAATATGTTTAAAAAGGCATATTGCTTTAAAAAGATATAATGCACGTAAATATTTTATGATATAGATAATGATTGAAACAACAAAATAAAAATACGTTCATTGGATTTTGCCCACCTCTAAAGTCGTGGCAAAGGTTGAAAATAATAATAAGAAATTTAATTGAAATTAGTGTTTCCATAAAAAAAATTTCATTAAATTTTAATGTTTCATTTCACTCAGGATTCTACATTATACCAACATGTCTTTAATGATGCCTCTTACCCTGCAATGCATGCAAACCCCCAAGCGTTGGATATCAGCCCGATGGGTCATGTTGCATTTGCCTGTAGGCTCAATGTTGTTCCAAAGCAAAGCAAAATACAAGGTATCCTCAGGTAAAACAATTTTTTTTAAGCTTCAATTTCACTTTGGTTGTTTTTTAATTATTATTGATCAAATTTCAGAAGAAGCAATAATTCCTCCGAAGAGTTTTGGCAAGCAACAAGTATACTAAACATTTTTAGCAGGGACATTAACAAAGAAACAGACTGGCTGCATACCTGCGCCAAAGAATATATTCTTACTGGAAAACCTTTGGGAGAATTATGCGATCATAATTCAAATGTAACACGACGGATGGGTAGATTAGCAGTAAGTGGAATAAATTAAAATTAAAAGTTTAAGTTGTCCTAAAACCCATTAATAGATAGCATAGAACATTGTACAATCCTTATTATGAGCCATGATGATGTAAAGTTTTATTTCACTGTAATACTCCTTAGAACCCTATTCTAATTTCACAAAACACCTTAATTATTTTTTACTCTTCTTTTTTGATTGTTGACTCTTTCTTTATTCGTTCAATAAAAATAAAAGGAGTTTGATGGTTGGCTAGTTCCTGAAAAGAAACCCAAGAAATATAAAATACATTATTGATTGTGTACTGTATATTTGAAAACGTTTTCAGGTGAGTTTACTCTGGACAATGGTCAAAACCCTTTACACAAATAAAAATGTAGAGGTAGGCTTCCAGACACCCTCTAGAGAGGAAACCATTGAGAATGATGATAAACGAGAAAAGATGAAAGAGAACAACGCTGTAGGTGATTCAGGAGTCAGCGATGAAATGAGCGGCACCCTTGGTGATTCTGTCGGGGATTTCTTCTTCGGGGATTCTGAAATGGATCCTTTAAGCATGGATTTTGAAATAAACGGCCTTGATGGTTTGATATCTCAGGTAGGTTAGTCTTATAATCAATTTTAAATTATAAATTGATAATTATCACTTATTAGGATTGGACATTACCGACGGAAGCGTTTCCTTTGAGGCATGAGATACAGGACAGGTCTCCCCCACCAGAACAGTTTCCAAATCACGATTCACCAGATCAGAATGATGGCAAGATAATTTTTTCTTCATTTTTGCTTGATAGATTACTAAAAGTGATTATATTAAATCAATTTTTTATTATTTTTTTAGACGGGTTTTCAGAAAATCCTATAAATTCCACTGATAACTGGAATCTTCTTGGTCAAGTCGCACCCATCAAGTTGAACAGCTGGGATCATTGTCAAATCTTGGCTGAAGCACTGAAAGCTCACGCGGAGATGGGAGACGTCCAGACACCTGTTTGCATTTTAACTGCATTGGGAGAAAAAAGATCTTCGTTATTGGCCCACATCGAATTGCATTCTCAAGAGATTTGGGTCCTATCGTATGTAGAACTTCTGTCACAGCAGAGGCTCTGGACCCAATCAAATGAAGTAATTACACAATTTTTTTTTAATAATAATTTAATTTATAATAATAAATTTTAATTTTTTCTAGATAATTAAGCTTTCTTGGCTTCCATGCGTATCGCAAATGAATCAGAAATCAACCACTGTCTACACAGGTTGTAACCAGTGTGACAAACCGTTCGTGCAAGGAGGCTGGAGGTGTCCTAAATGCGACACCGCCATTGTCTGCAGCGTCTGCCATCAGGTAATTAATACATTCGCCAGATTTTAAAATTGAAAAACAGGTTTGTTCCATACCTACGTAACCTTCAGCAACTGGCAGGAACATAAGCAGTTGAGTTTGAACATTCCAGCATGCTAGAATGCAAACTCAAAATGTCAGACGGCCAACATGGTTCAAGTTTGTGACCGTCAAAACAGTCCGAGGATTTAACTAAGGACTGGCAATTAGAGACAGCGCAGACATTTCCCAATGCTTTTGCTCTTGTCAAATGGGAAAATTCTTGCTTATAACTAGTGCGCGGATTTATATGCATTTAAAAAACCCTCAAATATGCCATACAATTTACTCCTAAAATATGTAGGATGAATGTCAGAGACATCACTGACTAATAATCGAATCATTTCTTTTGAATATAGACATTGTTTTTGTCTAGTATTCATTTTAAAAGGAAATGAAACAGAGAAATTGCACTCACAAAAAATTATATAATTAGAAAGAAGACTGGTGACTATTTTTTTGTTTCAAATGAGGTCTCTATTTTCTTTCACAACCCGACTGATTTACTAGTTTTATTTGTTTTCTAGGTTGTACATGGATTGTACGTTTGGTGCCAAGGGTGTATGCATGGTGGCCACCTGGCGCATATGAAGGAGTGGTTAAAAGACAACAATCTCTGTCCTACAGGCTGTGGTCACGCCTGTGAATTTATTTAATAGGAAATAATTTATGTACAGTTTTGTTTGCTCAATATTTACACTAGTAAGCAGAAATTAATTATTTATATTAATCATATATCATTGTTTTTGCTGAGCTAGTCAAACATTGAAAATAAGGTGTTTTTTTTTCTAATTTATGGCTTTTGTGTTTATTGTTAGATAATTTATTATGAAAGACCCATGTGAAAAAGTATAAAAATGAGGCTTTTCCTTTGTTCCTAAAATATGCCATATACATGGCACAAAAGACTGCATTATATTCATTTTTAATACATTTCAATATGTACAGTTTCTTTTAGAATTATAATTTACATATAATATTTATTGAATTTGGCTTGTTTTTTTTTTTTTTTAATTCAACCTGCGTCAGACTTATTATTTTCCTGGGGTTCGACTGACATCTCAATGTTTTCTCCTTCGTCTTCCGGAACGCTTTGCAATTTTGGGACGGCACCTTTTCTCTGAGGCAGCACCTTCATAAATGCCTCTTTCCAACTTAAATTGCACGATGCCACTTTGGATATTATAGCGAAAACTGAAAAAAAAAAAGTGGTATTTAATTAATGAAGCAATTTAAAATCAATTAGAATATAGTGTCTTCCTAGATTTTGTGTCAATTGTATTGTACCTTGATCGATAGATAAAACTTGTCTAGTTTTCATTTCCATATATTGATTTATAGGTAGCCTCCCATGACGAATCCCTTGTTCTTTTGCTATTTTCAAGCATAGACCCTACATAAATTATTTAAACAATATTAATTTCTAATATTTTAATAAATGTCAATATTTATAAATACTGTAATTACCTTGTGAGCATTGTGGTCAACAAATGCACCAATTATATAGACTTTGTCCTCTTCCAGCTGCTCGATCACATTGTCCGATTCACTCGTCAGATAAACTAGTTCTTCTAACTTGAAAATCTCTAGATAATTCTCAGTACAAAAATTGACCTGGAATATACTTGATTTTGTTCAAACCGTTTTCTGATGGTAAATGAATTAAAATTTATTGATACAATTACCTACATCCCAATGCACATATCCGGTGTGTTTTTTAATCACTTCTTTAGACAGACCGTTGAAATTTGTGACGTACATTTGTAACGGGTTTTCGCAACGCCTGTTTTCCGAATAACATCTGCTCATTTGGTTTACACATTTATGCATGTCCTTTAAAAGATAAATCAATTTTATTTTCATTTTTACACACAATTAATTCGCCATCAGCTGCATATAATAGACAAAATAGTGGATGCTTTTGAAAGAAAAAAAGTGTCTAGGACTTTTCCTAGGACAAAGATGTAGATGTAGATGAAATTTCTGGGTATAGTATACCGTGCCCTTTAAGAGCTATTGTATCCCTGTGCTCTGCCTAAAGCACATCGGTGAGTCCTATTTCATCAAGAAATTTGATTAATAGGCCCGGTTTCAGTGGTTGAAGCTCTTCTATGATCCCATTACACATCCCAAAACATTTCCTTCTGCGGGCTAGTGTAGCTCCGCAGTTTGTTAGTAGATGTGTTGGTGTCTCTTCTGCCTCTTTGCAGAATCTGCATGTGCCATTTTGGATTATTCCAATCTTCTTCATGTGTCCATTTAACTTGCAGTGTCCTGTTAGGAATCCTATTAGGATTCGCAGTTTATTCCTGCTTCCCTTGACACATTCTGTAATTTCTTTTCTTCCAAAATGGGTTAGAAGATTCTTGGATTGAATGTGTCCAATGAGTGAATTCCATAGTTCCCTCATTTTCTTTTTGTCCTTCTGTCTGAGATACTCGTTAATAGTGTGGATTCCTATGCCACAGAAGGGTTCAGGTCCTGTCAGCGGTTTAGCAGCTCCTTGCCTTACAAGAGTGTCCGCTTTCTTGTTGCCTTCAACTCCCTTGTGTCCTGGGACCCAGCAGAGGCTGACTTTGTTCTGCGTACCTAATATGTTTAGTTTAGTTTTGCAGTTCAGCACCATCCTTGAACTAATATTTGAACTTAGTGCTTTGATGGCTGCTCGGCTATCTGACATGATAGCTACATCCTTGTTTTTGTCCCTTTACTTAGGTTGAGATGGGTACATCTTTCGATTCCAAGAATCTCAGCTTGGAAGATACTCGTGTATTTTCCATGGGTTCCTAGGACAAAACAAGCCTTTGATCTAGTATGGCATCAGGGAATGCTAAAATAAAAACACAACTCCCTAGCACACTATAAATAACTGTTCAATCATACCTAACAAATCACCACACTTTTGTAGTAAAGTGCTGAAATGTGATATCTAGTGTCAGCATATCTGTGCTGGGGTACTAGTGTAGCTGCAAAAGACCATGTATTTAATATATTCTTCTAATTACCCATCCCTTGCAAATAATTATCTTGCCTAGTTCACTAATAACGTAGCAATATTGAACAAAGGTAAACGCCAAGAAACAGCCGAAAGCATTCAGTTCCATGCAGAAACAGTGGGTAGATGGTTTAGAAACTGCCAAGTACAAATGATTGTCATCAAATCTGAATTACCGTTACAATTAAACAGCCAAAATATTCCTCAAGGGCAGATCAAGAACCTCAGGTAACTCGATGAAACTCCTCAGAATTACAAGTAATCGCGCCATGACGCTGGCAAGAAGACCGTCAGTTTATGTTTATGTTTTTACTTTCCTCCCCTTGTTATGAAACCAATATAAAACGGGATGATTTGAAAAGCAAAGGGAGTCCACGAGAGCAGCCACAGTCAGTCAGTTGATCACAGAGTTAAGAACTGATTGAGTTGGGGTGAAATGACCTGGTGTTGACAGCACCTGAAGCCCAACCTCGTTGGCTGGACAGGTAAGACCGACGTTTGACCCTGAACTTCCAAAACCCAGTCTGGGTGATACTCGAGGGCTGCTTAATTTATTAATTACAAGAACTGGGACTGCCGGTTTACTGCAAGAAGTTATAGGCTCTATACACACGTGTATGTATGTGCATGCTTATGCAGAGTTGAACTTATACAAATCACCAGTAACTTCAGGAAAGTCCAATGGGACTGCACCCTCATAACATGTTCCATGTTACTGTACAAAAACTTGTGTCCATAACTACATAACAGTTAAAAATATTTTTTTTAAAAAGCTAGGTGTCTTGAAAGTTTACCTTATCGGTCATGAGAGTGTCAAATGAAAAATCAAGTATGACCCGTATTTTACAATTGCTTGATGACATTCTTCTTTGCTTTAACACTTTCCGAGAAGGACCTAATACGATATTTTTCTGTTTTGCCTCTTTCTTCCTCATTTTCAACTTTTGCTTCTCTTTTAGCCTAGTAATAGTAAAGTAGATGTAATAAAACGTTTTATAACAATATTAAATAATGTGAAGGGTGATTAAAAGTGATGTACCTCTTTTCTGGACGTTTCTGCAACCACTTTTCTCTTTTCAAAAGGCGTTTCCGAGCCCTTTTGGAAAGTGTGGAGTTTTCCAGTTCGTTTTTCCCTCTATCATCCTCTGCACTGTCACTTTTAGGAGCAGATGAACAATCTAGATCCATCATAGGAAAGTTGAATATCAGAGGATTATTTTAGCACCGTGTTATTTTAAATATATGAAGAATCGATCCAAGCTATTTTACATTAAGCAATTTAACTCATATTCGAGCCGACTGAACTGTGACAATTTCGTTTCGACAATTTTTCAACAAGGTATAAAAAAAATAAACAGAAACGTCTCTTAGCAGGTTATTGTGTCATGACACCACGTGTCTGACCAATGTTCATGCTCAATGCTGCCAAGTCGAAGCCTGGTAGGGCATGACAGCTGAATTCCCACAGATTTTTGATATGGAACATCAATGCACAAAAGTTCTTCTTTTTCAATTTTAACTTCTCTTTTACCCCATTAAACCACCCCTACTGCTTTTATCTAAAATTGGACAGATTTCGTTCTCTAAATTCCACAACAAAATATTTACAAAAGTGATCTTAAAGATATATATAAATAACTAGAGCCTAGATTTTATGCACTACAAAACTTTAGCACAACAAACACTTAAATAGTTTAGCAAATTTTTTAACCAATTTTTTTTTTTTTTTTTGACAATAGCATATTTATTTTGAAAGGAAATAGAACAGAATAATTTCAGTCACACAAAAAATATAATTTAAAATATTATACAAAATAAATAATTAAGTTTGTGAGCTGAATTAAAATGTATAATGATATACATGCCAAAGACCTCAAACGGTCTATTAACTGTGGGTAAATCTTGCGATATGTGTTGTAGTTTCGTTGTATTGAAACACCAAAGATTGTTTTACTATTACATGCCAAAATTAATTTCTTTAAAGCTTAACAGTATTTATTGCTCAAAAAATATATGTACAGACTTCGAAAAAGGATTTTTCAACAGCAACTGATGTGATGGACATACTTGTAGGAACTTAAAATAACTGGATTGTCGATTGTTTACATTTAAGATTTCATTGATTTTCTTCAATTCAAAAACTGGTCTTTTTATCAAGGATTTTTAATTTTTATTTATTTAATTATTAATTTTTATAATATTCTTAATTACTGCATCGCACTAATTTCTATAATTTTGAGTTGAAAGGAATAATCAAGTCTGTTAGTTTAGAAAAAGTTGAAGTTACCACTTTCAACACTTTTGTTTAGGTTTATTAGGTATTATAGGTAGAACATACGAAAAAGGGCTTTCACTGAATATTTATTTATATTATTTTATTTTTAATGGCCCCTATTTTCACAATCTGACTACTTCAGAAAAACTATGTTTTTCAGGAAAGGTAAAAAAACTGCACCGATATGTTTGGAAATGAGGGGGCCTCAAAAAGCTGATTATTGTGTTAGTTTAAGTTTTGTTCCTGTAAAGGTAACTGAAATCCAATTTTTTTCCTTTCATGCCCTTATTTGCTTAATTTATTTTTCCATCGCGATTAGGAGTAAGTTGAGGACTTGCATGTAATTGGCAATACATGTTGTATGAACCGGGTGGTTGTACAAAGCCTGCATGTATACATTGGTAAATGGCAAGACAAGCATTGTAAAACTTAGCAAATATTCGGCAGAAATCGGCATTCAGCAAATACTGCAGACTCCAGAGGCATATGAATAGACTCGGAGTGACATAATGGCGTAAAGAAGCCTATGTAGATATTGCCAAGGAAGAAGAACAGATATTGGAACATGTCCTCTGTTGATGCTAAGGGTTATCTACACTGAGATTCCTATTGCTGATAGAGGAAAAGCACAGACCTGAAGAATATACACGTGAGCCCTTGAAAAGCTTTAGGATCTGGTAAAAAAAAACCTTATGTTTAATGAGGAGCTTTATGCAAGAATAGAGATGCACAACAGACCAATACACAGGCCTCAGTGAGCAGGCCGTAAAAAGTCTGACTCCTACTCTAATTTTAATCTTATTACCAGGTTTGGCTGATTATGTTATAGTTTTATTATTTTTTACCACACTGATTATTAATTTCATGTTGTTTATTTGTTATATTCAATTAGTACTAGACTAATTTATTCATTGGGTAGACAAATCATATCTTAAACCTTATCTACACCCTCAGGGTAAAACTGGATTTAAAAAAATTAGGAATTCAATTTTTGTAGTCACGTGTGTGTTCACATTTCGTCAAATTCAATATAGCTGTCCTTCCACCAGACGGTATTTACCATGGTGTGTAATGTTAATTTACTTTGTTTTGTATACATTTCTTTTTGTTGTTAAATAAACATTATCATTATTTAAATTCACTAATTTCGGGTCCGCTTGACCAATTAAATCATTACAATTAATTAAGGTTTTTACTCATGAAAAATGGCAAAAAGGAGGGAAACTCATAAGGTGAGGTTGAGATAGGAAGTTGATGTCCGAGTGGATCAAGGTCACGATAGCTCAAGTGATAGAGCAGCGGCGTATCTAGCTGAAGATCGTGGGTTCGAATCCCGCTCGTGCCATTAACTTTTTTTCATCTCGACTAAAAACCTTAATTAATTGTAATTACCATTATTATAGCTGTCCTGGTAAATAAGTTAATTTATATAATTAAATCTTTACTTTTTGGTACTTATCTCATTATGCATTGCACGGAAGCACCTATTAACAAACTTTGGTGCAACACTTGCCACTGACAGGCGTAAAGACTTAATGGAATATGAACTTATTTAATTTTCACCAAAATTTGACTTATCCAGTTTTCTCCCAAAGGTGTAGAAATTTGGTATTTTCTATTAATTTAGTGACAGTAAAGAAATCAAACATTAAACTATTATTTTACTTTTTATTGATTGATTACTTCTTTTATATCCTCTTTCTCTTTAAATTATTTATTAGCATAGATAATTAATACTAGTTAGTATGCTGGCAAAGTAAAGAAATGAAAGTTATTCAGATATCGTGAGATGCGGTCTGGTGTGATGTAGGTTTCAGAAAAAAAAAAAAAAAATGAAACAAACCAATATTTTTGAAGATGTGCTGATTACGTGATGCCTTTTATTCCTGTTTTTGAACTAAATGCTAATGTAATGTTACTTATTTGGAATGGTCAATTTCTGTTGTTCCTTTTCAAGTTAATACTTTTTGTTGCACATATTTAAATAATACTCTTGTAGTGTATTGACAGGGTAAACAATATGTAAAAACCAATATTTTTGAAGATATGTTGTTGTTGTTTATTATCTTAGTCCCGTTTTTCAAAATAAATGCTAATTTAATGTTGTTTACTTGATTGAGATTAGTACTGTCAGAAAGTATTTGTCAATCATTGTAGACCGTTAATTAAAAATGCCTTATATGTTACATAACATACCCAAATACATGTTATATATTTATGAGGTGTTGTGTTTTTATTTTTATAGGAGGAAGGGATCAGTATTATTTCTATTTAAAAATACTCTCCATATCGGGTAGTATTTTAAGAAATAATTCCAGAAGTAAAAAATCTTATTATTCATTCATAAGTATTTTTTTGAATTTTATGGAATTAACATTAACATAATTTTGACATTACTGCTTATAATATAATTCTCCATGTTAAAAATGAAAAAGTAAATAAATACAACATGAAAATTAAAAAGAGGCATTGCATAATTTATTCAAATTTCCCGGGGAATAAAAAATAAATAACAGAAAACGGTATATACAGATATACAAATTAAATGTAATGGCTTAATATCCACTATGTGAAAAAACTAAGTATATCTAAAATTATACTTGGTCATAACAAAACTAAAGAACAATTTGCCATAAGTTTAAGTTAAAAAAAATTAATTAAACATTTGGCACCAAGGTAAAAAAAAAGTTGAAGAACTGAAGAAAAGAATAAATTGTGGGTGATGGTCAGTGCAAAATATAACCTTTTAAACATATATATGGTAAATAAGTCAATTTATATGCCCTATTAAAAAATAAATTATAATTTTAACATATGTCCAAGTAAAAAATTATTAAAATAAACAAAATTACAAAAAAAAAAATTAAGAGTTGAAAAGATGCTCTTTTAAAAAGTAGAATATAATTTCCTGTTATTATTCCATCTTCAATACACCGATTACACAGGAAACAGACAATTATAAGAAATATTAATTTAAAAATGTTTCTAAATTAAATGCATGTGTTATACTTCATGTATAAAAACACTAGGCACATTTGAGACATTTTGTACACATAATATACTGTACATCCCATTGTTTGCTCATAAATAATGTTTTAAGCAGTCATTGTTACTATTTGTTAATGCAATTTTTTTTGTTATACCCTCCTCTTTTTAATTTTTAAACGAACAACAAAAATACTTAATTGTGTATAACTATGTAGAATGTGGAGATGAGCTTGGCTAATTTATTTCTTAAATTCCAATGCACACTTTCACATCTCCTTTCAATGATACTAATCCAAGTTTTGCATGTTGATTAAAGCAGAAACAGTATACCCCCTTAAAGTACATAATATATATTTTTTTTACATATTGTGAATTCTCTCGCATATGCGAGATAAATTTTGCTGTGACAATCACAAGTAGCCTGCTTAAAATTAGAAAAGATTGACAACTTTGAACACAACCTACAGTATTATACACTTTAATTTCTTCCTCTTCGATTTGTCTTTGCCTCGTCCGTTTGTCATTTTGTTGTCTTCCATCTTTCTCGACCTAATCTCCCGCATTAGATCAAAAAACACCTGACAACAAAAATACATCAATTATTCATTAAAGTCTTCACCATGAAAAAAAAAACATACCTTATCAACATTATCACGAGTCTTAGCTGATGTTTCTACATAAGGCACACCCCACTGTTGTGCTCGACTCTGAGCCTCATTCAAGCTCACTTTCCTTTTTTCGTCCAAATCACCTTTATTCCCGACCAGGAGAAAAGGTATGTTTTCATCATTTTTTACTCTTAAAATTTGTTCCCTAAAAAGATTACAAACATTAGTGATGATGACAAAAATAATACTAGTGGGTGCAGAGGACTATATAAATTATAAAATTTTGAATAATAAAATTCTGTTTTAATTGATACATTGGATAGTTTACCTGAATTCTTGTGTAGCTTGGAAGCTTTCCTCTTCTGTAATAGAAAAAACACACAAGAACCCTTCTCCACTACGGAAATAATTATCTCTGCAACCAAATGTGAAAAATTAAAATTTTTAATAACACAATCAATAATTTAAATATGACATTCAATTTCATATAAAATGTTTTCATGGTTTTAAAAGAAAAGCATTTCCATACAGTGAAACCCCCTCTTAACAGGCACCCCTCTATAGCGACCACCTCTCTTAATGGACAATTTTTGCATTCCTGGCAAGAAAGAGAGGATTTCTATACATTTCAAACCTCTCGATAGGGGTTCTATTATCGTGGGGAAAATATAGTAAATTTCCGTATGAATAAACATTCATTATGGTAATTTTCAATATTTTATAAATGTGGCTAGGTATACATTATTGAGAAATAATTTTAAAAAAGTTTTGTTAAAATCTGGTGTTTTACACAACTGTTCGGAAATTCTGGGTACTTTTCTTGGCCCTTTTATAAATGCCACTTTTTTTTATAGAGGTTCCGTTCCTCTAAGCATATCCTGTTCTGTGTCCATTTGAATTTTAGAAATATATGTTTTGGAATTGCATAGGTATATTTTAAAAAGCTTCCTTTTTGCAGAGGAATAAGTTGTTCAGGCATTTGACGGCTTTTTCCTAATTTTTTTCTGGAAATGTTTGTAAGTTCTGTTTCTTCTTCGAAAGCTCTTTCGTAAGAAACCAAAATTCTTGCCACTCTACTTGTTTGATATATTATTGCCAAAATGGACACATCTTGGCTCTCAAGTCTCAATTGTACTTTGTGTTACAACACTTTATTTGACTTACATAAAATTAAAAGAGCTATTTTGGATTCTTGAGTGAGTTTAATAAGGATAGGTTAGACGAAAAATGAACTGCCATGGTGAACAAATTAAGAATACATCACGTGGATGCAAAATTATATTAAACCCTTACTGAATAAGCACCCCTCAATAAAAACAATTTGTAGTGTGATCATTATAGAGGGTTTTTACTGTAACCCCAAATCATTGTTTTGTTCCACAATCTATAGCTGTAGTCAATGATTTAATCAATGATTTTCTGTCATATCAGAAACACATTCACATTTTTTATTTACATTTCAGTCTGTCCATCAATTGTTTTATTATTCCTTACAAATGTTGCATTTTGGCTTATTAGTTTTCTTTTGCCTGGAATTGATCAAAAGAAATCAAATCTTTAATGTCCTTAATATAGATTACATAATTTCTGACTCATGAAGTGTGTAGGTGGATGGTGATAACAATAGATAAAATTTCTTATATTATAAAGTAAAGTTAAATATTACAAGTAAAAAGTACAAATGTATTAAAAACTGACACTTTTATTGGTTGACTGTATTTCCATGCTGAACCAAAATTAAAGTTAAATGAGAAGAAATGTGCAGTTATTGAAGTTTGAAAATACTGTCTTACATCTGTGTTTTGTAAGGTCTATTTCTTGATCACTGTTTATTAGTTAGAAAGCGAAGCGCTCAGGCTGAAACTCACAAGTGATTTTTTTGCCTTCAAAACAACTGGAGCAAAGAGAATCGCTTTAACAATTTAATAACAAAATATATGCCTTTTGTTTGACAATATAAAACTTCTATTGATACTGAAAAGCAAAGAATAATATTCTAAATCCAACCTAAATTTACAATCTATTAAGTTTCGTAGTCCGCTTGACCAAATTTACTAAATTTAAAAAGTTAATAATGCCAAAACAATACACCCACCTAATCGCAGCATAATCTTCTTGCCCGGCCGTATCCAAAATGTCTATTTGAACTTCCTCACCATCAAGAACAACTTTCTTCCTGTACGAGTCAGCTTTTGTTGGCTCATAGTCTTCGACAAACTGAAAAATACATTCTCGTGTAAAATAATTGAAAATAAATTGCCATTGTAAAATGTAATTAGGTATTTTATAAAAGAGAAACTTCAGATAATAAAACTTAAAAACCAAATGAGTTATGTGATCTGATGGAATGTGATGATAAAATATGGATCTTAATCAAGCCTGGAGACTGTTTACTTGTAAAAACAGTAGCGACTATTTTTTTTTATACTTAACCAGTAAGTTTGAACAATTTTTCAGGTTTTATACAAATAAAATAAAATATAACTCACTGTTGAAGTGAATATCGCTTAAAAAACATTTAATACACTTACAGGCAAGGCAATGTCCTTGAGCATAAACAGAAAGTTTATCACAAATGGAGCTATTTCTGAATGGGTTACTCATTCCTTTATGAGTCAAGCTTTTACCACTTCACTGCATTGTTAAGTCATCTTCATTTACAATTTTCATAAACTTTGAAAAATATACATTTAGACCTTTTTTGCTCAATACAGCTGAGACTTCATACAGACATCACTTTATATATTTCAATTATTATTTATCGAAGAAAGCTTATGCTTAAAAGAAAAATTCAATAAAAAATTAATAAATATTTAAATAATCAATATTTCAATGGGGAACTAAAATAAATAACTACAAATAACACCTTAAAAAGTATAACATTTGTTCAAGAAATCTCTATCTTTGTTTGTTTATTTTTATAAATAACTTGATAAGTTTATCATTTGAACCAACAAACCACTATAAAATAAGTATCATTTATTATAAATAGTAAGGACAATCATTTCACTGGGAATTTTAACTATTTAAAATAATGATGGACACTATTATCATTCAAATTTCCACTTGTGAGTAAGAAGAGCCTCATTTTCTCCTTTTAATAACTGCTCTAGAAATGTTTCAACTGAAAGAAGACTTATTTACAAGAGTTGTAACTCCTTTCTAAAAATAGCAACAGAAATGAGGGTCCTTGGATCTAGCAGTATCATAAATAAGTTTCTGTGGTGTTTTGGTAATGGGGCACAAGTCAATGTTTTATGTGAAATTGGGATTATACCATTTTTAGCTTATTTTTGGCATTCTTTATGCATGGGAATAGGGTTCAAGTCTGATGGCTGTCGTTAAAACTTACAAATTTGAAAATTTGAGCAATAAATCGATTGCTAGGCAGCAAACTTTCAAACAAAAAAATTGACCCCTCTACCTACACACTACACATTTTACAAAAAACTGAAATACTCATTTTTATTCAAAGAAAAATTATTGTGAAAAAAAATCATGTTAACATAGTATAGTAAAAAAGATCACGACAAAAATTGAGTCACCATAATAATTTGATAAAGGATTCTATATTATAAATCAGTGCAAATGTCAAATGAACTTACATTGTTAATATTTTTAATGAGAGATATAAGATAAACAATTTTTTAAGATTCGTTGTACTTGTTTGGTAGAACTCCATCATTAAAGGTTAAATATAAATGAAGCCTTTAGTTCCAATTGATTTTTAAACTATAAACTGAACTATAAAATCTAAACTAACTAAAGGCTTCATCGATATTCAACCTTCAAATAAGATAAATATAGGATGGGCCCGTTTGTTTTTATCATAGAAGATGTGCTGCTTAGAAAAAATTAATCTTCAACCTGGTAAAGTTGGCAGTAGTCTGAAATATTACTTAAATGTTAATGTGCTCTAGTCATGCTATACTGCCCGTACATTAATTACATAAATTTAATCTTTGTGCATGGATGAACTTGAATCTTTGTCTAATTTTAGCATTGTTGTGTCCAAATGGGAGGAAATATTCAAAATCCATCATAGACATAAAATCAAATCTGTATGAGTGCACAATATGTTCGTTAAAAAATAATTTATATTATTTATTCAATTCAGTTCATCGCCTCGCAGAACTTCACATATCACAATTAATATTTCAAATATTACTTAACAGTAAATGTATCACGACATACTGTTTTAGATTAATTACATAATTTGAACATTAGTAGATGGACTTGAATCTTTGTTTAATTTTAGCATTGGCAGTTACTAATAGGTACAAATATCCAAAACAATTTAATCTACAGTTGTGGATAAAAGCACAATAAGTATGCAGGCTAAAAGCAATTTATAGCTTGACTGTAATTATTCTTGGGGTTCTTTAGTAACCATGGAAAAAAATAGGGCGATCAAGCTTCAGATTCATCTCCTCACAATCCCCCAACGTATTTCACAATTAAATTTGAAATATCCCTTAAAAGAAAATGTAGTCTGGTCCTGCCCTATGTTAATTGCATATTTCAATCTTTTTGCATGGACAGACTCAAATCTTTGTCCAATTTTAGCAGTGCCTGTTCAATAGGGCAAAATTAACATTAAACATGTAAATGCGATACTGTATGAGTGCACTGTTGGCAGGCTAAAAATAATTAATAGCTTGATCATTTCTTACCATCCAACAAACCAGTGAGGATAATGAAACGATGACGCTAGTCTTCAAGTTCAGACACGTTGCACAACTAAATCAGAAATATTGTTTACAAGTAAATGTTGTTTGGGCCTGCCATAGTGCAAAAGTTAAGTACATCATTTGAACTTTTGTGCCTGGACAAACTCGAATCTTTGTCAAAATTTGGCATTGGCAGTTACAAATGGGTACAAATATTAAAAACGTGTGCATACAGTTCTGTATAAATTCACAATATGTGTGTAGACTAAATAAAAAAATAAGTCAATCGGGATGCAGATTCATTACCCCACAGACCCAAACATATTAGACAATTAAATTTTCAATACACTAAAATAAATCTTGCCTGGTCCTTCCAAACATTAATTACATAATTTGAATCTTTGTGCAAGGACTAACTCAAATCTTTGTCTAATTTTAGGATTGGCAGTTATAAATGGAGCACATATATTCAAAATATGTCAGTGTACAGTTCTGTAAACTTCACAATATGTGAACAGTGAATATGTGTGACTGTATTATTCTCACCGGTTTGTTCCTAGCCACAAAAAAATAAATAAATAAAAAATAAGACAAATCCACACTGTTGTGGAGTAATAATAAATAAAGGAACAATAAGACAATTAAGCTTCAGGTTTGTCACCTTGCAGACATCTATTTCACAATTAGATTTGAAATACTACTAAAGGAAATAGGCAATTGTCATGCCATACTGTACATCAAGATAATTTCAATCCTTGAGGAATTTTATAGCATTGAATTTAAACAAATATTCAAAACAGTTTTATGAAGTTGTGTATAAATACACAATACGTGAGCATGCTAGAAACAATTTATGTTTATTATAATGTATAGAAATGTATCAGAATTGTATTTTTTTTTTTTTTTTGGATCTTGCTTAATTGAATAATTAAAACATATTTTGAGGGTTTCAGTTTTCTATTTTGAGTTTTTTTTTTAAATTTGGTATTGTGCTTTGGGACAAAATGCTACTGAAATGTATGACTTGTTTACTGTGTACACTAGGCTAATTAAATTTAAGTGCTAATTTAATTATTTTTTTTATACCTCGTCGTACATAAATTGTAGGGTGAGGGCGGATTTTCCAACTCCACCGCTTCCGACCATTATCACCTTATGCAAGGCGGGCGGAGGTAACGGCTTTTTTGCCATTTCGATTCCCACTGGAAGAGAAGAGTCCGGACCGGATCACAATTGAATTATTTTCACACACTTCCCACGAAATAGGTTAGACCTCCGTCCGTACGGCCAGAAGGATTATTTATTCTTTACAACGTTGGAACCGATGAGAAAAAAACAAGAAATTGATCCGCGTTAAAAATCTGATACTGCAACGCGTTCCTTGCCGGGCAGAAAAGCCGAATTAAAATAAGAGAATATGCCGTCCAACGGGGGATTCGTGGCGGGTGAAATTCGGGTTTTGGCTAAGGACTTGTCACGACACGACAGGGTCGTGGCAGAAAAAAAAAATCACGACTAAATGAAAAATAAAACGCCCTGCGGATCAGTTAGTGCAAGACGCTAGGAGACCGTTGATACCTGACCGAAAACTGTCACAACAAAACCGATCATCACCAGAGAAATGATCAAACCAGGTTCGGCTCAGTGATGCCGGTGGGCGATGGCTCCTTCCCCGTCACCAGTACCGTGAAATTTCCCTATCGCTCCATTACTTCTAATTAAATATTTCGTGCTCTGGTGACTCCTCTCCACTTGGCCAACAGACAACATAACAATTGAACATCCATAACTTAAGACCATTCTTGAACACATACATAACTTTGGTCATCCAAAGATAATTTTTCATATACCTTAAACACTACTTGCCCAACTTAACTAATGTATAAAAACAAACTCTCTAAAATTATTTGACTTAACATCCATTGAGAAGAAGAAAAGAAATAGGGCAATATAAAGTTAGATGCAGTCTTAAATTACTCATTTCAAACCACGTTCAATGAAGCAATTTACGCATACTCCAAAGACCGCTTTTAAATCAAACAACTGTTTAAAAAATTCCATATGACCTAGATCTGATCACCCAAATATAACTTGCTCTAGGTCAATAAACATCTAAAACTTTTTAAAAACTTCATTTTATGACTTGATTGAGGATATTTGAAGTCAACATAAATATTTCATATTAAAAACAAAACTAAAGTCATAATTTTAACTATTACTACTACATATATCTTTTGTTTCAGACTTCTCTATAAATTACTTGGGCACAAATCTAACATGTTTATTAATTTAATTGGCAAGCACACCCTTTTTATCATTGGTACAAAATCTAGAAAACTAACAATTTAAAAATTTTGTATCTAAAATCAACCAAAATCCAGACCAGGACGGTCAGAGATGATCAAGCTACATTATCTTCACTTCACCGATCTCAATACAATTCACAATATAAAAAGTTATTCTTTTTGTTAGGTCTTGGTTGAGATGAAAAAGTTAGTGTACCGAGCGTGATTTGAACCCACGACCTTCGGCTCAATACTCTAACCACTTCAGCTATCGTGACTTCGATACACTAGGACATCAACTCCTCATCTCAACCTAAAACCTTTCAAATTTTCCCTCTTTTCATCTCAACCAAGACCTTACATGAAAAGAATAATTAATTGAAATAAGTAATTTGTTCAATTAGACCACTAAACATGGAATAATACAAAAGTGTTAGGTACAAGTTTGTTTTTTTCTTTTGCAAGCCCCGTTTAAGTTGTATTTTTTTAACATGATACTATTATACAGGCCATTTTCTATTATATAACATATATTTGTTCAATTTTTTTGTTGTTGTTGTAATAGTTGTTTATTTTTAAGATCTGGGCACATGTGATAAATGAGGCATATGTGGGAAGATCTGGTAAGAAAGTGACCACCATGATTTGAATTATAAACAAATTGAATTAAAGCCAGTGGAAGAATCAACAAATGATTCCCTAGTCAAAAAATAACTGAATAATTGTTTTATGGTTTAGCAGATAAATGTGTTAAACAAGTGCATCTGCAAGAGTTTTCAGTCTACAATCTGCATTTGGCGGTAATAAATAAACTTTTAAACTGAATAAAACTGGGTAAGAATACATAAAAAGCCTTATGGATGCTGAACTGAATTTATAAACAAATGATCTAAAGTCCTTAATATATACTCGCTAACTCAGTACTCATTAGCAACTATTTTTGACAATGGACAGGCCTGTAGATAGGACAGTGTCATATAAAGAAACATGCATACATTTAAAACGAACCTATCGAGAAATAACTAAATAACGGAAATATTTAATAAACAAAACCCAATTTAAAAATGCTTAATACTTAATCAAGACCCAATAAAAACTATAAAAATAAATATTTATTTTGTTTTAATATTTCTTAATGTAGGTAAATCAAAACTTGAATATATACAAAAATGATATCAACAATTCATACTTTTATTTTTCAATTAATTATAAACAATTCATTATATTATTGCGCATGAGATCAACAGTCAAATTTTTTTAGCAATAGTTCCCCATGAAGGCAAAATTGCTTGATATATCAGCATTTTTTTGTTATATTTAAAACCAATCTAGTATTGTAAAACAAAATAATCCATTTGACTAATTAATACAATGATACACACTATTTTTTGAATTATTAACAAATATATTATTTACAAAACAGTAGATGGTATCAATTGGATTTTGGCGCTCGGATGGAAAGACGTAGTCCTTGTGCTCTTAATGATTCAGTATCAGGAAACAAAGGGTTCCAAAATTCTGCAAAACAAAACCCATAGAATAATGTATTCAAATTAATTTATGGAAAACCTCACCTGGTGGTGTTTGATGAATATTTGGATTGAATTTACTTCTGTGTCTTGAGCATGCATTAATCCTTTCTTGAATTTTTGCTGGGCTGAGCTGATCCCCGAGTGCTTTATAATACTAAAAAGAGAACATATTTATCTATCTATTTCAATGCAAACATACAAACAAGTAAAAAAAATTTCCAATTTGATAATTTAAACAAATTAAACTTTTATGTTAGGAAAATTAATTTTTAATTTACTTAAAAAAAAATTTAATGCTTACCTTTTCACATTCTTCACATTCCCAGCCTTTTAGCTGTTTCCTCTCTGCTTTATTACGAACAGCTCCCTGTTGATACACATAACCAACGCTTGATGATTCTTCCCAATTAGGAGGCCTTAAACATTTCTATTAGTTAAAAACTAAATATTTCAGAAGTTTTTACTGCTAACAACCTATCAAAGCTTGTATTACAACGCTCTTTTTGGGTGCTAGAGGCCAAAGGATTGAACACGAGTGAATCGAAATCTTGTTTTTTTGATTTCTCAGATAAACCCAACTTCCTAAAACAGTAATAATTTTTAATATATAATTTTAATAAAATCACATTTTTAATAATGTAAATATAAAATTTACCTAGGAGCAGAACAAGGGCTTTTATCTATTATTTCTTCATCGTCATGTTTTGATTCTTTACAAGAAACCTCCTTTTTCACACTTATTCCTAATTTTAATTGCTTAAGTTGGTTTCCACGGCTGCTTATTTCTTTGCTAACCCCGCTCTTTTTTTTCAACAACCATCTGGCCTCCTTTGTTTTATTCGTTGGTGTCTCACTAATGATTTTTTCATTGGTTGACACATCATTAATCCTCTTATCGACAGATTGAGTCTTGTCCTTCGGAGTTTCTTCAACACAGTCAATCTCAATATTTGTTACAACAGGAGGAGTGATTTGGAACAAAAGAGGCTTTTTAGGAGACTCGTCTATAATGTCCTCCTCATCGGAATTCTTAGATATAAAATCGAGCGAGAGGTTTTTCTTTGCAGTTTTCTTAGGGGTATTCATTAAAGGAAGCGACGAGCTGCAAGTTTTCTCCGAATTTTTTTGTCTAGGGCTTTCACTTGCAAGTTTCTAAACAAATTGCAGAAAAATGAGGTTATATTCATTGTGCAAAATTTTATATACAAACGTAGTTACCATAGGTGAAGGTATTTTGAAATTATCTATTGATTTTAATGGGCTAGGAGGAGGGATACTTTCTGGGATTATTGCATTTCCTTTCTTTTCTACCTTTTCAGTTAGTATATCAGCAGTTTCTTGGACCAAAACTTCTTCCTAAAATATACAATTTACCTATAATTTATTTAATTTACATCAGATATTTAAAAAAAACCTTTAATGACTAGATTTTTTAAGTAATTCAATTTTTAAATTGATTCCTCAGAATAGGTACAAAAAGTTCGACAAGCTTTCTTTCTTTAGCCCAACTTTGATTAAATTCTAATCCTTCACAAGTAAAATTTATATACAAACAATTTAACTTCCATTTTCAAAGCAAAATTATTTACCTCAAGGCATATTTTTTTCCTTTTTGGTGAGTTCCCAAGCAGCATTTGAGAAAGTAAATTCATAGCTGAATTTTTCCCTTCCATGTTTGGAGAATCAAGATTGTCCCCAAGGTTCAATATTTTAGCTATCGAATTCATTCTCTTCTGTGCTTCCGCTTGTTTTTGTTTTGCACGTAACAATTCACGCTTGAACAGGGTACATTTTCTGCATGGAGATTTTAACCTAAAAAGGCCACAATAATATGCATGTGATATTTTTATTAAACTGTAATTGATCTTTACCGATCATCTTGGTCTGCCTATTCTCTTAGTTGGTGCCTCTTTCGACCAGAACAATAAACTTTAAACAACTCACCAAAGGCACCATCAATCAAAGAAATCCCACCCAAATGGTGAAATGTCAAAACACCAACCCAGTGTGGATAGATAGACCAAGATGATCAATGAGGATCAAATGACAATTTCATCACCCTGCAACCCACAAGGAAATATCACCATTCATATTTATTGTGACATTTGTTAAGGCCTGCATGGTGATGAACTTGTAATTAAATTACAATTAATTAAGGATTTTTGTCAAGAATATTGTAATTAAAGTTAGGAGTCAAGGAATCGCACCCTTCAATTAAGTGGGGGAATCGAGCAACCTTTCTCTACATACTTTACAAGTATGTGGATGTTGGTCTAAAAGTAAATGTCGGTATGTCTACCACACATAGCCTATCAAAATATTTTCTTTCTTATAACTTCAAAATGCATAATTCGATAATGCTTATTGTATGAATTTAAGCTCAGTCTTAGGGTGGCCAAGGTAGCTAAAATTTGTACTGCATTTGGTGATGAAATAACCCATTTGAACCACTTATGAACAATGCTCTCACTTATTGTTTCCTTATCAAACACTTTACAAATTTCACAAGCTGTCACAGCTGTCCTAGTACCAAACTTAAATTCATACAATAAGAACGCATGAATTATTGGTTTTGAAGCTATGAAAGAAAATATTTTATAATTTATAATAGTGAGGTGTTCAAAAACAATGTTTTTTATGAATTGATGCATTTTCCTTTGGTATTATGTGATGTAATCACCTAATAAAAATAGAAATGTTCATTAACGGTAATGAAAATCCACATGAACTTTTCTGGTTATCTGGTAGTTAAGCATTTTGATTGTTCCATCATTGTATGACAGGATTGACTTTAATTTAATTTACGGTCAAACGGACCACGAACTGTAATAGATTTAATTTATATTCTTGACGTTATTGTGCAGCGACTTAAAGAATTAATGTTTGCAAGTTGATTATAACGCAAATGTCTGTGACAAGTCCTCGATCAACCCTCTTGTGGTGCTCTTGTTGAAGAAATACCATGAATCGAGGGGTCTTGGCAAAACAGTGGTTCTAGGTACTGGACAAAATAAGTCTAGAGAGTAACAAAAAGGCAGATGAGGTGACCAAGGCAACCTCTAGATCTAAGGACCTTACAATGTTAAGTGGTATTTTAAACAGTCTTTACAGGTAGTTTTCAAAACTTAACGTCTAGAATACGAACCATCTAATTTGAAATGGTTCTTTATTAATATTTGTTTAAACTATTATTCGGAGATCATGAGATGTGGTCTGGTGTGACGTTGGCTTTAGAAAAACATTTTCTTTATCATGCCAACGTTTCGATCTTTATTGAGTTCATCTTCAGGGCCTGGGATTTATAAACATTGTTTAAATTATACAAATTCATGTAAGATGTGAAAAAAGTGAATTTATACAATGCTATAAATTTTAGATTCAATCAAAGTATTTGTACTCACTCAAAGTGTTTGTTTTCTGTGTCGATGTATCATTATTGGGTGTCGTGTTTGTATTTTGTAAATTAAATTAAGTCTTACGTAATTTACAAAATCAATTGTCTAAACTGTCTGGCAACTTACATCGGAATTACATTCCAATATCTGGATAAGAGAGTAAAGCAACATATCTATGGCTGCAAAAAACCCAAACAAAATCCTACAGCACTGGCTACCAACCATTTTGAACACCACATAGCTATACACAGCTGCAACTGAGTTTAAATGTGTCTGTTCTATAATTGATGCTGTGCTTATCTCTGTTGATGTAAACCATTTCTAAAAAGACGTTTATTTTTTATTTTTGATCTGTGTGTAATATTTTTGGATTGTTGAAGTTGAAATTGTGTTGGTGTTCAAAATGGTTGGTAGCCAGTGCTGTAGGATTTTGTTTGGGTTTTTTTGCAGTCATAGATATGTTGCTTTACTCTCTTATCCAGATATTGGGAGGTATTTCCGATGTAAGTTGCCGGACAGTTTAGACAATTGATTTTGTAAATTATGTCAGACTTAAATTAATTTACAAAATACAAACACAACACCCAATAATGACACATCGACACAGAAAAAAAAAAAACATTTTGAGTGAGTGCAAATACTTGGATTGAGTTTAAAATTTCTAGCATTATATAAATTCACTTATTTCACATCCTACATGCATTTGTATAATTTAAACAATGTTTATAAATCCCAGGCCCTGAAGATGATCTCAATAAAGATCGAAACGTTTGCACGTTAAAGAAAATGTTTTTCTAAAACCTATATCAAACCAGACCGCATCTCACTATCTCCAAATAATCTCATTCACTAAACACCATACATTTGTTTAAACATTGAATTAAAAATTGTGAGAGGTGCTATTCTTACCTATTAAGTTTACATTTAAGAATAGAACATTCTTCTTCTTTTTGTTTCAACTCTACTGACACCTGTTTGTGCAAGGATTTCATCTTTGAACAATCGACGGCAAATTCTAAAATTAACAGTACAAATAATTTATAAAAACGTTTTTAAAATAGAAAATCAGTATAATTGAGTTTAAATTAACGTTTCATTCGAAGTAGTGTCCCTTCTACGAGCATGAGAACACCTTGGACTTCATCATCTTCGTGCAATGTGTATATTTCCTCGATGAACATTGAATTCCAAATGTTCCGCAGTTCTGATGGAGTTCTCTTTTTCACGGAGGGCTCCATGTCAAAATAAACAAAATTAAATTTTTAAATGTTAAGTTTTACTTTTCAACCGATCAGTCCACACTCCACGAGTCCGTTGACATTTGTTTTGAATTGGGAACCTTCTCCTTTCTAATCTGTAATCCTAGCGCCAAAGCCTATTGTGTCCAAATCATAACAGATCAATTTTATTATAAGACATTATTCTTATTAAAACTCAATTAAATATCTAAATTGACATTTATTATTTTTTTTATAATTACAATCGATTGTAAACATTGCTTGCATCAGCCTCCAATATTTACTATATTCTTAAGATACTCAAGCCTTTTTGCCTTGAGCCAAAAATTGACCTACATAGATTTTTCAAATATATTAGATATTCATTAGCCCAGTTAGTCCTTAATTACATGAAATAATGTACATTAAATTTTCCCATATGGTTGGAAAATTGTTTACATTTATAAATACTATTTGTCTCATTATTCGAAAATAACTTTCTTGAAATACATGGTTCTCTCATTAACTGGTCTATTTATTTATTTCGGATTATTTATTTATTTTTTATTTGTTTGGGTACCGAAGTAAAGTCCTTACTAATTCACTCGTGCAAACAACTACATAACTATACACAAATAAACACTTTACAGCTACACAATAATAATATATATTATCTATACATACATTATTCCTAAAATACATTATTTCTTATTAATGAATAATAAGAGATATGCATTATTCCTAAAGCCTTGAAAGCTAAATATATGAAAAAATTCACAATTTAAACAGATATATTGTACCTCAACAGCATGGATTCATACCTGGTAGATCAACTCTCTCAAACTTAGCAGTTTTTATGAATTATATAATTTCAGCATTAAATAAATCTTCCCGCATCGATGTAATTTATACGGAAAATGAAAAATGTTTAGAATCTGTGGGCCTATACTTAACTGGTTTGTCAGCTATCTTTTTAATAGAAAACACACTGTTAAAATTAATTATTCCTTTTCACATTCCTTCTAGTGTTCCCCAAGATTCTCACCTTGGCCCTATTCTCTTCCTTTTATTTATTAATGACATTGAATCCAATTTTCATGATGAGCAATTCCTTCTGTTTGTAGACAACTTAAAAATTTATAATGAACTTTCGTCGGATGTTGACTTTACTTGCCTTCAAACTTCTTTAGATTCTTTCACTGTCTGGTGTTCCAGGAATGACCTAGTTATCAATCTGAATAAATGTTTTGTTCTTCCGTTTCATCGTTCCAAGTCTCCTCCCTCTGTAAATTACTGTCTTCAAGGTGAACAGCTCAAAGTTGTCCATCAAATCATCAAGTCATCTCTGACCTGGGCATAATTTTTAATTCCTCTCTCCCTTTTAACTCTCTCATAGAAGGCATATGCCTCAAATTGTATAAAACAGACTTTATTTCAAGAAACACGAAACATTTTAAAAATATAAATTCACTTAAAACTCTTTTTAATTCCCTTGTTAGAAGTGAGTTAGAGTATTGCTGCTCGATTTGGTCTCCCTATACTAGTTCAAATATTAATCAAATAGAAAAGGTTCAGAATAAAATTCCTAAGGATATTAGGCTTTAAACCTCACATCTTATTATCATTAATAATATATTTGCAATTGTAACTTGATTAGTTTTGCAATATTTTCAGTCTAATATGTTAATATTATTAAAAAAACTTATGTACAATTTAATTTCTATCTATGTATATTTTCACTAGTTTATTTTTTCCTTGCAAGTATTAAATGGGCTCTGCCCGTATGTAAAATAAATAAATTATATTGTCAATATTTACAGATGAGAAACACCCCGTTTCCCTTAAAAATGGGAACTGGGTAGGGGTTCAAAGACCAACCCCGCTTCCAAGTAGTGAACCCCGGGAAACGTTCGTCGCCGTCCTGACGGGGGGGATTCACATTGATGAATGGTGTGAAAAGGCTAAAGGGGCTCTGGTGTCCTATCCCCAAGTGAGGTAGGTTTCCTAACCACTCCTCACTAAATAGACTCCTACCACCAACCCCTCTCCCTCTATCCTATCATCCCCCTAAAAAGAGTCTTGGGCTTGACAGAAAACAGCATCCACCCCAATCAAAGGTGTCATGCGTTCCGTGCAGAGTGATTCATTGGCAGCCAGGGTTAATGTGGCTGTCTTGAACGGAGCCTCTCTGACACCGGGCGACATCAGAGAGTATTTAGCCTTACTCCATCATGCGGGGCTCTGATAGAGCAGACCTTATAGTTCCCTAGCTACTCGTGGGATTTCAATGATCAAAGTAAATGAAAAAACAAAACCCAGAGCAGGATTCCACTGCTCCAAACACAATAAGTAATCTGGGAATCAACCCCCAGATGGACACTCAGTCCTCAGAAGCAAAGGAGAGACCACCTCTCCCTTCTAAAGATAAATTTTAGTCGCTACGTGGGAAACTAAACACCACTCAAATGAAAGGTTCACTACCTTCAAGTAGCGACACTAGAAGACATAGACCTCCTCTTGGGAAACCGAAAGGTAAGAAAAAAGCCTCTGCCGAACTACCAAAGCTGGGAGAACCAGGCGGAAAAGACGACCCTCTCAGGAAAGGTCTTAGTGGTGCTATGACTAAATGGTACCTAAGGGCTATAAAATCGGGGAAAACACCCGAAGAAGCAAGGAAATTAGCCGACGAAAGGAAGGCTAAAATCCAACAAGAAAAACTGGAGGCACAATCATCCAGTAAGAGGGCAAGAGAGCAATCTCTTACCCCTAAGGAACTGAGAAGGGACAAGAAAGAAAAGCCTTCCACTCCTCCTCAGGTACAGTCTAAAGCCAGAGAGGCTGCTCCTAGCGTAAGTTACGCTGGAGCAGCAAAGATCATAAGAGTGACTTTGCTACCGGAGGAATACCCTCTGGTAACTTTAACAATGGAAGAGTTGACCCACCTAGAGGAAACCCTCATAGAAGAAATTCTAAAAGGATGGGAAGCCAAAATACAGTTTGAAGGCATACACTTCAGGCCAGGAATGATGGTCCTAGACTGTCAAGATGGCAAAACTGTACAATGACTACAGGAAATAGCTCCCAAACTGGAGCTAAACAAAGAAAAGAAACTAACAGTGAGGGTTGGGGAGGATGTTCCCAAACCTCACTCGATAGCAGTGTATGTACCCACTCGTGCCCATTATATCAGGTGCCTTGCCTACTCGCTCCCTGTATGGAGCGCGGTACTCCTCGACTAATGCAACACACTAAGCAACCCTCTGCAAGTGGGACACCTGCAAAGGGTTTGCCCTAAAAATGGTTCTGTGTGTCAATCGAGTATGGCCTATCCTCAAATGGGTGAGCACTATCCCTTAGAGATGATCGTTTTATTGTTTCCAATCTACTCCATAATCGACATTCTCTTCACACCCTCAAGATTTCAAATGAACATACTTCCATGGCTGGTAATTGGCTTGAAACATGGTTGCAGTGGTTGCAAGGCCATGTGGTGCTCATAGATAGGACCTTTTATGCCCATACTCATTCCATTTAAGATAAAATTAAGGGTTTTTCAGTGAAATAAATATGTATATAATATATATTGTTTTAAATAGAAACAAAAGTGTTTGAAACATGCCTTTTTTGATTTTTATAGAGATTTTATATTATTTCTCTACAAGTCTAATAATAAAAAAAATCATGGATATAGATAATTTATTCTAGCAAACAATAACTAGGTCAATTAAAAAACAAATTCAGTATTTTTCCGTCAAAACAGGTAACTTATAAAGAACAGAAAAAAAGCAGGAATGAACTATCTCAAATCAATTTATTTCTCATTATTTGGTACTTCATAAAATTTAATTTATATTATATTCTTTTTATTGATATTAATAACTTATGTTTTATACATATGTACATATTTCATATAAGAATTTATAGTTAATCCATAATACACAATTGTTGTTGGATGTGTAAAATAAATGAACTGTTTACAAAAGAAAATAAAACATAGCCCCAGTTAAACAGTTGGTAAGTTAACAATTAAAAATTGATCAAGGCATGTAGACAGAATTTCTGCGACCAATAAATTCAGTTTTTAAGATATGATTAGTTTCAGTGTAAAAATTTAAGTTTCTAAATAAAATTGAATTTTTTTAGGCACGACGAATAAGAGTAACCACACATCCACTTAGCTATTTAAGTCTAATAAAAAAATTTATCCCCACAAGGTATACAATTTATTGGCAAATTCTTAAAGTATTATTTACATTTCAACATATATATATTTACATAAAATAGCACTTTGTTCTGTTGTTGGTTGTAAATGTTAAGTACAAAATAATCTATATTCTAATGGAGGAATAAATGGATAAAAGGTACAGCTATAATCCATAGGAAACACCAGACAAATAAATCACTCGAAACAGGAAAAAATCTCGAGAAGAAATGTCTTTATGTTATTGAGGAGTCTAATCTAACCATCACAGTTCTTCTTGTGTTCAAATTATAAAGACAAAACTATTTTTTGTTTTGGTTTAATTAGAATTAATTCAGTTATTGTTGTGAGGATGTAAAACCGCTGCTGCTGCAGTCTGGTTGAACCTTGACATCAGGGTTGACAGTGTTAATCGCACACCTTCAGTTGCTAGAACCCCTGACGATAGAGTTCCACAAATATTTGATCCACTTACAGCATCACCTTTTAAAAAATAATTCAAATATTTTTTATAATGTTTATTACTGATTTAAGAGTCTCCACAAAAAATAGGTAAATTTTTAACATACCCTGTGGATAAAACACCATTTGCTTTGGGTCAAGTTTCCCACTCCCATTGTTACTTGCTGCAGTCCTTAACTCTGTACGTAAACTTTCGACTAGTTGATGTGTAACTGGATCTCCCTAAAATATACGATCGTTATTGATCACAATTATAATAATATCAAAGTGAAATGTGAAATGATTAGTTGGTTGTACAGGGCATGCAGATTAGACTGATTCCTTATCAAAACAAGGACTCACATAAAGAAATAACGTTCAGACTAGGAGTTCTTATTATTATAGTTTAAAAAGGGAAGATAACAAATTAATCATATTATTAACAATTAAGATTAGTAACATCATTCGTAACAATGAACTCTTTAAATATACAATTTTTTAAATGTTAAGTTCTTAACACATTAAAATAAAACTACATAAACAAATAATTGTGCTTATTGTTAGTTATTATTTGTAAATGTGATTACACCTAATGAAAAACTTAGTAAATTATAATAGCAAATTATGAACACTATTAGTCACTACTGACAAAACCCACCTAAAACCTAATATGTGTATTAATTTATGGAGTTATTTAATTTATGTTATTTAAGATTATCCTTTGTGTTTGTTTAGATTGAGCCCTCTGCAATTATTACTTTTTATACATTATGCAAATTTAGAGAAAGCTGGCATTTGCCTCAATTGTAAAGAATTTCTTTCCCTAAAGAAATAATGTCAAGCCTTTCTTCTATACAGTTAACTTTTTTTTTTTTACAAAGAAAACACTGCTTACATCCTTATCGGAATGGAGAGCAAGAAGCTGGTGAACCCTAATTGGCAGACTGTTGGACAGACAATGAGAAAGCCCAGCAAGCTGTTTATTAAGCAGATCCTCTGGACTGGGTTTGATAACAGGCCTTGGAACAGGAGGTGTGTTTGCACAAGGCGAATCAACCTGGGGCGCCATTATGTTGTGGTATGGAACTCGTCTGGAATTTAGTCCAGCAGCTTCCATCTTGAGTGCCTTGGATGAACTGAAACATTTTGAATGATTTCAGTCAAAACTCCATTCGTTTTAGGCAGTTTACATTGTTATTCCTCTCCACTTTTGGACTGTATTGCAAGTTAAAAATATAGCAGGTTTTTTATTTTTTTGAATATTTTTATTGTATTAGAAATCACTGAGTGCCTCATAATCTCCTATTTTCCTTGGATAGTTTATTAATTATAATCAATGCATACATTAACTCAATTTTGATCTTACAAACGTTTCAAATATAGACAATTTAAATAGACTGGAGACTCACTAATATTATTAAGTACAAATATGTGCATAACATTTTTTTTAAACATTACTACCTTTTGTAAGTATGATTTTCACTTCATTTTGTAACACAAGCTCATTTAATATATAACTTTCACTTTGTATAATCTAAATTTAAAATTGATGTTAAATTTAATATTAATTTTGAATTATTGTTAGATAAACTATTTATTTTTAAATGATAAAATATAAATTGAATTTATTCCAAATGTCATCCTAGGGATATAATATATTATGATCTTGTGAAATTATTTTCTCATACTTTTTTTTGTCTAATCACATTTCATAAATTTCAGCTCCACATAATTAAAAAAAAATTATATATACAAAACATTGTTGACGCATAGGTCAACATTACAATTATAATCACATGCTGACCCACACAATACACATACACACAAGAAAAACAACAACAGTGCTGAGAAATGCAAAAGCTCGATTTAAAAATGTAAAATAAAATGAACATAAAATAAAAAATAAAAAAATACCTGTCTAGACAAAGGCGATCTATTCTTGATTTATTTGGAGATCTGCAATAAACATTATCTACTTAGTTCACAATGCAATCTACTTTGTGAAAGAAAAATTGAGAGAGAGAAAAAAAAAAGTAAAAATTGTGAAGAAGTTGAGCTAGCTAGTTTGGTTTCATCTATTACATGCATTTTAGACGTGAACAGACATACCCTCCAGCATTATCACAGTTATCATCGCCTCGGTGGCCTCTTTGAAGAGCTTGCTGCTGTTCATTAAGCCCTTTCATCTGTTTCCTTTGTTTTTTGCTCCATAACTCGTGGCAATCCTGCCAAGTTGGAAGCTGTGGCGGTGCCATCCTATGATAAAAATTAAAAAAAAAAATCAGCATGAAATGTATGTGATGAGATATAAACATTGACAAATAGGATGACAGCAAGGAAGAATAAACTTAAAAACAAGTAGAACATTGGGGTTAAGCCAATTTTGTTGATTAAGAAAAAGGGGCCAAGGCAAGGCACTCTTCGATCAGATGTGACACTCTGAACAGCCTTTCTCTACAAACGAGACACCTTCGGTGTTTTGACCCAAAAGCGTGTCAGATGGATATGGCCAATCATCTTTGAGTCATATTTTCGGAGGGCAATCATTCAATTGTGTTCTCGCAAGAGCTTCTCAGATAACCCAGCCCAATGTTACTGCTTTTTTACAGTATTCTTTATTGCTTGCACAGTCTCACGAGCTGGATCAACGGCCCTCACTGGTTTTAGACTAGCCTGTAAAGATGAGGTCAAAACTACGAATTCCAATTTAAATTCTATGAACGCAGCTCAGTAAAGGTGTGGTGATGTATATGACTTGGCTAATACCACAGGATCGACCCGGGGAGGCAAGGCCGGAAGGACCCAAGGCAGTGTCAATCTGTTTCCAGCCCAAATACCATCCCTAGTGTCAAACTGGCCCTCCCAAGAGCTTCACCAAAGCAAATTCCTATGGGGTATGTTCAAGTACGAAGTCACTTATATACCTAGCTATACACTTATTTTCTTCAGATCATGCCCGCCAGAGTTGCCCGGCTTGGCTAAGAAACCTGCTGCATAGCTGAGCGAAAGCTACTCCCGCCAAAATTTGGGCAGTAATATTTCCAGCTCGCAGAAGAGGCTGGCCGAGGGGACATTATATTGTTCACTTATTTCGGCAATTAAGCATTCAATAAATACAATAAAATGTTCATGTACTTAAACCATGTCAAAAGAAAAACCAAGAAAAGATAAAATTGTAAAATAATACCAATTGATTAAAATAAAACATTTGGTACAATTATTAAATGCAAGTTATGTACAAAATAGTAACAAAAATCTCACTTTTCTGGAACAATATTTCTCAGCCAGGCTGATTTGAGTGCCATTTCTGCTGTTATCCTCTTGTTTGGATCTAATACCAACATTCTATCCAGGAGATCCAGAGCTGAAGAAGGCATAAATGCGAACTCATCCCTCAACCTTCTTCTATGAATTTTCTTTGACTTGAGCAAATGCCACAGAGGGAGTTCTATCACAAGTGGCCAGACAGCGGGGGTCGGTGTTCCACAAAGTCTTGAAATTATCTCTAACTGCATCATCTCGTTACTCTGCTGCAAATGTTACTGATATGCTTAGTTATGTGACAAAAATTTACAGGAAATAATATTTTACCTGGAAAAGTGGTTTTTTTAGGAACAATTCACCAAGTATACATCCACACGACCAGATATCAATCGCTGGTCCATACCTTTCCTCCCCTAACAACAGTTCTGGAGGTCTATACCATAATGTTATTACTTTGTTTGTATAAGGTCTTTGCCTGTCCTCAGCATTATACAATCGAGCCAGGCCAAAGTCAGCCAGTTTGACCTCACCCCTAAAGGTGTTCATTATAATATAATAAAATACAAGTATGAATTGAACATTTTGATAATACCTATTATTCATTAGAATATTGCTACATTTTATATCCCTATGTAAAAAGTTTTTTTTGTGGCAGTAGTTCAATCCTTCTAAAAGCTGCCTCATTATACTAGCATTGTGCTGTTCTGCGAAATCTACCATACCAGATTCAAGCAGCCCGTGAAGATCGTGATCCATGTATTCAAAAACAAGATAGAAAGAACCTTTATCCTAAAAGTACAACAATTAATGACAATCCAGGAACAAAAAGTTTAATTACAAGAAGTTATATTGTCATAACTGGACACTGATGTTATTTACAGAGTAAAAATTGCATACCTGGTCATATCTCTGCTGCATTAAAAGTAAAAATAAATTTAAAAATGTACCAAAGACAAAACCGATTTAGTATCAAAATAACTTTTAGAAAAACTTTTAAATTTAAATTAAATTAATATTGGTCAATTAAAACTTTTTATTTAATAAAAGCAAAGAGTAGGATTGAGTATGTATTACAATACATTCAGAAAAAAAAATCCCCTTTCTCTTACAAGTCAATAAATTTTTGTAATAAATGCATTTCAAATTTACCTTACGAAAGTCAAGTGCATCCTGCTTGTCCGTAACTATTTCCCTCAGATTTACTATGTTTTTGTGGTTCAATTGTCTCAGAATTTTAATTTCACGTACAGCCGTAACAGGAAATCCCTCTTTCTCATTTTCAAGACGCACTTTCTTAAGGGCAACAAGCTCTGTTTAAAACAAAACACAAAATAAAACTATATCCAATTATGCTTTAAAACATTATTATTTAATAATTTTAATTAACAAGTTATAAAATGTTAGTGTGTGTCGGTGAACACACGTTAAACTGATCACCCACTCTATCACTCAACTCAGTCCATCTGATCTTTTGTAGGCTTAAACTGAGTAAAAAGATCGAGTGCTTATAAAAATTAGCAATAAAACCATTGTGCGTTAAGCTATGCTAAAATAAGCAACATTAAGTTACAAGGAAAATGCCCTTCCTTTAAACATACTACTTTTTGTGTATAAAATATAGACTGTAAATAAAATAAAAATTAAAGTTGTAAGGCTACAGGACAAGAAACTTAAGAAAGTGACTGCAGAGCCATAGATTTTCTCTTGATGTTTTTAGAATAACGAACTAAGTATAATAATCATAAAGTAAGTTAACACTGCTCCCAAATGATCAAAATATGTTTTGTAAATTGTTATTATATGTAGAGAAACCAATAATAAAAATTCATACAAAATCCAATTACATAAAAGCGAAAATAGTTTTCTAATTCTGTTTACTCTGTTTTATGGTTACGGGGGAGTGTAATTACGAGAAAATAATTGCACGAGACCATAAATTTTCTCTTCCTGAATTTTCTAGAGCAATGACCATAATCTGGGTAAACATTGCTCCCAAATGTACAGGGTAAATGTTCTGTAAATTAGATTTTAGATAAGATAACATTTTGTTGTCCATTATTTTTGACAATGTTTGAAATTCTATAATATATTGACATATTGATATATACTTATATTTTGGATTTATTACACATTTATTTTAAGTTTAGACCGCACAAGACAGCACATGCTAGTTGATCCTTGCATGGAGTTGCTGCCTAATGTTTACTTATATTTCTATTAATTTTGATGAAATAGTTAATAAATATTTTAATAAATGACTATACTTAACTATCTATATATTTAAATGTTTGATCAAGTACAGGATTTTGAATTTGTTATTTTATACTTTAATTTTACTATTATAGGAGTGTGTAAGCGTTACGAAGATAAATGAATTAAATCATATTAAAAGCTTATAATTCATTTTTCTTATCATTTTGTTAATTTTTTTCAATAGATATTTAAATTTACGTTTTGCAGAAGGTTCTATACATTGGGGAATAGTTTATTTAACAATAAAGTTGCTCTGTAATTTGGTGAATTTGCTAATATATTTTTTTATCATCGGTAATTTGTTTCTATGTTCAATTCCTCTTGTACCACATTTGTTCTGAAATATTTTACCTTTTTCATTGTATAATAATATACATTAATTTCAATATAGATTTGATAAATGCTATAAACTCCTATTTCATCAATTAATAATTTTGATACATATCTTTTTTTTTAGACATCTTTTTTGAAGGATATAAACTGGCTTAACAATATACCTATATACAGGGTGAATTGCTACTCGTGCTACAAACTTCTCCAGTAGATTCTTCACCCTAAAATGAACAAAAAAGTTCATATTGTCCATGGTCCGATTCTCAACCATTTCAGAGTAATTTCGCTTTTTATCGATTTTGAAAGATATCACGTCCTGGCGTCGGAAAATCGTGATATCTTTTAATCTAAACATTTCTCT